TGATAGAAGGAGCGTAGTAGCTTGTTGACCACCACAACTGCCGTTATTCCTGACAGAAACCGATCCCATGCCGAGATGCGGAGCGGCGGGACTTTGGACAACCAAACAATCAATGGTTGCCAAAGATCCTCGACCAGACGACCAGACACACGCTGTAGAACTGGACGAGTTCTGCCCAGACTCTCATCGACGTCTGGATCCTATCTTTGGGTGTATTACGCATTCTCTGCGAGTGGACGCACTGGACGTGACGTTGCAAAGTTCAGCGAGTGTTTTTTGTTCTGTGGCCTCCTCATAATAATGGCGTGCTCATTCTGTCCGCAATTTTCATCATCGCCGGAGATGCGGAGAGATGGCACCACAGCAAGACAAAGTGAGGGAAACAACCCACGGGACAGCAGTAGTAAGAGCCTCTCCTTGGAGAGTCGAAGAGCGGGAGGGTCTAACACGACTTGAGATGGTACTACTCCTTGTCGCAGGCACAAATGTACACCGCGGCAGTGCCGCCTCTCCGTCCTGTTCGAACGCTGCTTGCTGCTGCTGCTGATGTTTTCGGCCCTACACGATTCCACATCAGCGCAGCAGGGTCGGTCACCCGTTTCAGCATCATTATTGGTGGCCTTTTCGAGAGGAGATTGCCTTTCTCTCACCTCCGATCATGGGACATCGCTGTCATGGAGCCGCGGCGGCAAGGGTTCCCGCGGGCTGTGATGTTGTCAACCGCAAGGTATGCATAGCTTAGACCTTTCGCATGTGGCCTTGCGTTTTTTTTGTTCGCGTGAGTGAGATGCGAAGAAATGGCGATCGCTTTCGTCTCGAGCGAGCAACGTAGCTTGTGTGGCATGCTAGATTATAAGATCCAAGGTCATGCTGTACTGTCGCATATCGAATAGAAGTACTTCGCACGATGTGTTGGCGAGTTCAGTCGGTGTGGCAGAGGCGCGGCGCGGGGCGCGGCGCGGACGGGCGGACCCTAGAATGCGAACAGGCCTGTAAAGTTTGGCCAATCATCGTGCAACTCTCACAGGAGCACAGGACCCCACACCTAAAGAATCACGGGGCCACCGACCAGCTTGCGGGCAAACAACACCATATGCCACAGGCCTGTGTGGGCTTTGTGCTCCAGAACGACAGCTTCCAGAGCTACCCTGCATCTACAAATCGAGTCTATCGTTTCTGCACCCAACTGCACCTGCAAATCGAGCGTGCCCACAGGCCCACAGGTGAGGAGTGCGGAGAGATAGATCCTCCGACCAATTGCGCAGGTTTGCAAGTTTGTGCCTTTCCAGAAGGCTCCGCGCAGTAGCCATTCAGCATGCTGGGCAGGGTGGTTCACTTCGCGCTACTGTACAGGGTCACACGTTGCCCAGGGCGTTCTGATTTCAAGGACACGGGGCACCCTGGGGCACGGTGGCAACCCTGCGTCCTGTCCGTACGGTAGCAAATATGGGGTTTGTTCGTATGTGTGATAAAACCGCGTACGTGAGCTTGGCACAACCTCCCACACTACTGGAAGTTTTGCTAAAATGCCCAATGGGGCACCCATAGCCCACCCATGGGCACTCCATGGGCCGCCCATGGGCAGGCCGTGGGCTGCCCATGGGCAGGCCGTGGGCTGAAAGTGCCTGGGCGGCCCATGAAGTGCCCATGAAGTGCCCGCGGTGGGTGCTTCAACCTAGCACCTCTTCACGCCATATCAACCTAGAACTTAGCCACCCAGCGCCAACCTCGCACGTATCGTGTGGGCTTGGGGTTAGGGTCAGGGTTAGCGTTAGGGTTATTAGCTGTTATTGTGCCCGATCCAAAGCAGAACATCTTTTGTTTAGAAGTACACTGGTTCCAGTTGAAGGCACTGGCAAGTGGGCTGCCCATGAGCTGCCCACGGGCTACCCATGGGCTGGCCCGTGGGCATTCCCCATGGGCTGCCCGTGGGTGTCCCATGGGCGGTTTAGCAAAACAGCAGAAAGTGTGAGAGACCCGCTTGGCATGGGCCTTGGGGGGGGGGTCACGGCGAGGTATTTGTTTTATTTATTTTCTAGGCGATGCCGCGCGGGCGGTCTCGACGTGAGCCTGACCATCGAATTGAAGTACCATCGACAGGTATAGTGTTGTACCAGTGTCCTTTCTACGGTCGGTCGCCCGATCACCACAACCACGGCTATTTCGAAATCCGACCTCCTTGAACACTCACACCGCTTTGTGTGGGAGCACAAGTTTGTGAAAGAAATTGCTTCGCACAACGAGCTTTGTTGCAACTTTTGGTCGGGAGCTCTTGTCAGTAACACTTCCGTTGCACGCTCACTATGGAGCGAAAGGAGTTTCTTCACGGGACTGGTGGAATGCGGAGGCGTCATGTTTTTTTTTAGCAAGGACGAGAAGCAGGCACGCCCCTTCATGCCACCACACGAAGAAACCGGCCATAGCGTGGGGGAGAGGGTGGTTGCAACCTTTTTTCTCCACACTCACGATACCCCAAGGCATCTACAGTAACCTGGTACCAGAAAGATGCTGCACAGAGCTACCTCCCTCGGAGTGGCTTCCTCCTTCGAAATTTTTCGCAGGAAAACCAAACCATGAGCACACAATCCGTGCGAACTTGAACCAACCGCTCTCTGACGTGGGTATTTATATCTTAGTCAACCCAAACGTTTTTCCAGACGCGCACGATACCCCCACGGCACCAAACCTTGGGCATGAAAGAGCAGAGAGCTACCTCCTGCCGAGTGGTCTTGCTACTGCGGTTGCTTCCTCCTGCGGAAAGCTATCGGTGGAAAACGAACCCCGTGGCGGTCAAAAACACCGAACTTGAACTACATCCTCTCGCGGCCCTTGACGGTTGTGTGTCAACACATTTTTTTTCCACGGCGCATTCCGCGCCAAACTTTGGCATTGCCAAACAGTCCATGGCATCACCTCCTTCCAGATACCATTCATGGGCAACTGGTGTAGTATTCGTCGAAATATCGGTGAACACGTTGCCGTCCAATCGAAGCTGGAGAGGGGGTCTACGTGTATGGCATGGGTAGGTGCTTGACGTGGATTGGCGGAAGTCTCGCCGCGTAAATTTTGTTCGACACGTTCGTCGCGAGGAAAGCTGCAGACCGTTTGCTCCAGATCGCGCGATTTCTGTCCAAAGCAAAAGTTTCAAAACTTTTGGCGCACCGTTTTGCTCCTGTAAAGAGCGCGCATGAGGAAAGTTACGAGAAAATTTGGAGCCTTTTTTTTTTTCGCAAAGTTGTGATGCTTTAAAAATTGGTGACTCAGAGATTTTGTTTGCAGATCACACCCTCAACAAACCGCACATTCCTTCATTTCGATACTGGTCTAGCCACCTACAGAGCACTTGGCGATGCAAGCAATACCTTGGTAAAACGCTGACATCCAGCAGAGCACGGTATACTTTCTTTGAGCGAGATCTACTCTAAGTTGAGAGAGAGGGCCATCGCCGTGAAATTCTTTTATTGTCAACGCAAGCCAACGGCAGGCTCTTCGGCTTTCCTACATCAGCACGCAGCATTCAATCTCACATCACCGACCGCGCAGCGCCGTGAGGCACTCGGCGAGTCGCATGTGATCTAGTTTGTATCCTCGAAACCTTCTAGAGGTCAGGTCAGGGGTTCGAATCCCGGCGCAAGCGAGCTTTTCTTGCAAAGTGAGTTTTTCTCTCGCTTTCGCTTCTGGCCTAGTGGATAGCGCTAGTTCTTGTGTACACAGAGGGTAGAGAGTGCTGAACTCTTCTCGCATTAAAATCGAAAGCAAAGTACCGCAAGGAGGGGAGGGTAGAGAAGGGCTCTTCTGTGTGACCACGGGTTGGAGTAAAGGGCACTATCTAGTGCTGTGAGCGCTGATTTGAAGTGAAGACCAAAAAAAAAAAAGGATGGTGCGCTGCATCCTGTTAAGGGTGTTCGGCATTTTGTGCTTTCTTCGTTGCACACGCATGACAGCTGCGAATGACTACTTTAATTTATGGTGCTTCCACTGCCAGAGACAGTTACATGCACTGTGGAACTGCCTCGAGGGCGCTTCACCAAGTCAACACAACGCGGTGCGATGGTCCCCTTTGCGCGGAGTGAGGGTTCTCGACCCCGCACAACATAATCTACTCGACCACCACTATGATCACCACAAAAAAAAGCAGAGGCAAAAAACCCCGGTAACCTGGTTGCCGAGCTCACGAAGTGATCGGCTTGTTTTACGACGTTGTTACCAAGCGATGAAGTCCCAACCCTGACGGCAAGCACCGGGGCGGGGGCGTGGGGGGGGTTCAAGCTGGAGGGGGGTGGCGTTATTGTTTGGCAGCAGCAGTGCCTACCTCGTATCATACTCTTCCTCGCCGTCTGCCTCCCACAACAATGTGCACATGCGTATCCACCTCCAACAACGACTGATATGCCGTTTCCCATATTTCCAGCCACACTCACTTTTTGCACCTCTGCGATTTGAAGGCGCGGCTCGTCTTTCTTCCGCTGATACAGCCTCAGGTCGATGTTCTCCTTCAGGCCGTCGCGGATGTTCTCGTCGTCGATGTAGGATTGCGCCTCCCGGTTCTTGTACTGAAGTTTGCGAACAAGGAAGGCGCCACCCTTGCGAAACTACTTCACGCACCACCGCACTGTCTTCAATTCGAGTGGGCAGGTTTGGCTGCGGCTCTGATGTGGTATGTTTTCGCCATCCCATGTTGGATTCTGTCGTTGGTTCGGGCGTCGTTCGTTTCGGGAAACTTTGTGAAATGATACTCTCTTATCAAGCAGCACCATGGCACATCAGTAAACTGCCCGACAACGACATGTAGCGCCCTTTGTGCAATAAAAACAGCCACGCCCCAACGAATAGGTGAGGCAAGACAGGAGAATTTAGCAGCACGCTCCCCGCCCACAATCACTCGAGGTGCACGAAATGCTGCACGGTATGAATGACGCGGGTGGTGTGAACCAGTTAGTTGTGTTTTGTCCAGCATTGTCTTCGGATCCTCCACCACTGAAGCGGAGCTGTTGCTCTGTTCACCCTGTGAGGGAGGAGGAAGCGAGCGTGCGTTTCCAGAATATGCCGTCAGCTGCAATTTCATGCGATCTTGGCTGAACGGTTCCGATGTCGAGGCAGAAAAAAACGTGCAGCTCGTGGCGCACAACCTCTGCCCGAACCAAAGAAGCGGCTGACTGCATTGACGGTGGCGTCCTGTGGGTGGCCACAGCAGTGTTAATAACAGGCGGTAAGACAACTAGTGCCTAACGCTCAAAAACCTCATGAACAATTGACGGTTCGTTTTAGTTTTAAGGCTCTGATCAGGTACTGTGTCGAAACACTTGTGAAAGAAAGCACGAAAAACCACAGCAGTGCTGCTGACCACAAAACGGCGCTACCATTGTGGCTACAACTTGAATACATCAACTTTGACCAAGTGTCTCACCTTCTAAAGCCTGTCGATCACTTCGCGGTAGTATCACTGCTCTCGCCTGCACTTTCGACCCCTTGCCACATCGAGCGCCGACTTTGTCCATGTTCGCCTTCCTGCGCCACCCTGCCCCTCCGATTGGCGCATCCACCCTTGCTGCCGTTCAACCGTACCGAGACGAGACCACTGCGCGAATCTCCTCGTCCAGCACCACGTGAGTGTGCTTGCTGCCCTTGGCCTGCTTTGTTCTCACCCGCGGGGGACTTTCACTCGGGGGCAGCAGCCACGCCGGCGAAACGACCCTCTCGGGTGATTCGGCGGGAGGGCGCTGGTGCGACAATCTCTGCGGCTGGTGGCATTTCAGTAATACGCGCATTGTCGTCGACCTCACTGTTCGCCCCCTCCCCCTGCCCAACGCCTATTAATAATGCCCCTTTGCCAAGAGGGATCGGGGTGGCACCCCTCTCGTCAGAGCTGCTGCTGCCGCTGGTCCTGCTGCTGCTGGTCCTGCCGCTGCTATTTTTGAAATCGAAATCAAGAAACGTTCTGATGAGGTATCGCAAATGTCCTCCAGCACTTCTTCGGCGTTCTTTTCATCTCTCGACTACTCCACCACTCCCGAATCGGAAGCCCATGACCCGAAGCTACCGACATGTCGCCGACGCTGCCACAGCACTGCTGGCTTCCACATCTCCGCACATGCTGTCGCCGCCCGGAGGGCTTGCGTGCGGCCCAACCTCTGAATCCGCCGTTGATTCCTCTACTGGACCAACCTCGCTACCGACAGAGGGGCTCTCCTCCGCTTCCTCCTCCTGCTGCTGCTGCTGCTGCTGCTGCTGCTGCTGCTGCTGCTGCTGCTGCTGCCGCGCCCGTTGCAGCCGTGCTCCCATAGTTGGTGCCATGCCTGCCACGTGTTGCCTGAGAAGCGTTTCTCTGTTGCGGTATTTTGGGGTGCTGGAGAGCGCGCGCGGCGGATTTTCGCCGCGTTTCGTGCTGCGCGATGACGAGCTGCGGACAGCATCGACTTCTGTGCTAAACGCAGCATTGACTGACCTCCACCATTGCTGTGTGCGCCGCTGACACTCTCATCGCCCCAGTTCTCGTCGTTGACGTCATCGTCTGCCGCCGCCTTCCCTCCTTCCTCATCCACATCCATGAACTCTGCACCGTCGTAGCCTTCAGAGAGTTCATCACCAGCGCCTGGTGGAAGCTCATGTTGCTGCACCGGCTTCGGCTTCTTGGAAACCGCCCAGCCATCGGGTCCGCGATTGACCTTGTTCGTCTTTGGCCGTCCCGTAGGCTTCCGCATGGTGCTTGCGTGCGTGTTTTGTGTTCTTCGGGCTGCTGCGTGTGCGAGTAGTGTTAGGATTAGGGTTAGGGTAACCCTAAATCTTGTGTGTGCGTGGTGCCAGTGAACGAAAAAAAACATTGTACATACCGTAAGGCACAGCAAAATGTCGAATGTCTCGAGAACCAATTTTTCCCAGCAAAAACCAAAATTGCCATCTAGAGACTGACGAAAGGATTCGTTTGCCGCAGTCTATTTTGAAATCGGTCGGTTAGTTATTGCGCTGTAAACGGAACAACTTGACCCTCTAGATCCAGTTTTTCGACGATATTTCAGTCAATTTCGAGTATTATCAATTAAAAAAACAAACATGTGCCATATTCCGAGATGTATCTAAATCCGTTGAGTTTTTTAGTATCGGCTGAAAACTCCCACCGTCGTAAACGGAACAGTTTTTTCGTTTTTCGCGGATAAAAGCCAAGGAAATATAAAAAAAGAGAAAACTCTCCGTCACGCGATGCACCTGGAAACAGGGCGTTATTCGGTACGTGCAGATTTCGGAACAACCGCGTGTGTGCAGAGAATTTTGTCACTCCTGCGGCGAAATTATTGGAAAATGGTTTGTGCACGGGCCGTACTAAAGTCGTTGCATTTTGCCGCAAGTGCTGTTTGGTGTGGTGTACGCCAGTTCTACGGTTACAGCATACCACGTTCTACCCTTGTGCTGAGAAGGCGACGATTGGGAAGCACTTCGTTGCTTCATTGATGCTTGATGATCTGCGGCGTATGCCCCGTGGTGACGATTGATGCTGTGCTCCGCTGGGTTGAAGCAGCCTATTTCTTGGCCGTGTCCCCCGTTATTCGTGCAGCCGTCACTCTTTCTCATGGTCGTCCTCGTGTAAACTCCCTGCTGTATGTCCTCTGTATGATTCACAGTGGGACCCAACAGCAGTAGCCAGCGTCCGCGTTGTACTCGATTACGACGGGATTTAGCACGACCGCACGCCCATCGTGCCTGCGGAACGACCGCCCGATTATAGGTGAGATTTCGGAGACCTGCGGAACGTTCTTCTGCCAAACTTTCGGTGCGTTGTTGTGGCTGTCGTTAGCACGTGGCACAGCCCCCAACAAATTTTCGGGTCAGGACCCATGCGGCAGCCCCTGTGAGCTCCCTTCTGCGTGTGGCGTGACAAGCTGGTTGTGTGCCGTCCAACAGGTGTTTGTTTTCCGCCAAACTCGTCACGAATACGGGGTTGTTGTGGGATTATGCGTTTTCCTACGGATGAAACGTTTCGAGCACTGTTCCGAGAACTTTCCCATATGAGCGCACCTCTGCCAACCCTTTTTTCTAATCCTTCCAGCGGCCAGCCTCGGGGATACACAGCTGTCTCTCGCCAAGCGTTACGAAACCAAACGTTTTTTGTTGTTTCTTGGCCGGTAGGTTTTCCTCGAGGCAAGTCGAATATCATGTGTACTCTGTAAAACGACCTCTGCCCCAATTCGTTGTTGCTCCAGATGACTGATCCTGTACAGCTTGTGCAATCAGTCCTTTCCGCGTTGGGAAGGGCGCGCGAGGCGGTGGAGAGCGCTCAAAACTTCCCGTCAAGTTTAAAGAACCAGCTCGCGGATGCAACATCCGCACTTGAGCAACTCCCGCTTGACGCCAGGCAAGTGGCCCGGATCGGCATCGAGCTCGAGCTGGACCAGCTGAATGACCAAGCTATCCTCATCCAGACCCTGGTACATGGTCACGCCCGCGCGCGGATGTTTTGCTCTCGCCCCAAGAAGCTCGAGAAGAAGTTACAGGAGATCGGCGGGGATGTCTGTCGAGTTGTGGATGCGATTGCGGCCAAGCGGATATTTACAGATATACTTCCTCCAAGCTTGCCGGACATGGCCGAGGTTCCCGTAGGAGCGCTTGAGTTGCCCCACAGCTCTTACGTGGAGCGCGCGGCGGTACAAGAAGTTGCTGACGGCCTCACCAACCCAGAGGAGCCCCGTACCCCGTACACCGTTGTCGGAATTGGTGGAGGGGGGAAGAGCGTGCTGGCCTCTGCTGTCGTTCGCATGCCGAGCGTTAGGGAACACTTCCGCGGCGGTATTTCCTGGGTGAGAGTGGGGAGGGGCGCGAAGAATAGCCTGCTTCCTCTCCTCCAGGGCCTGGCCAGGGAGGTGGGCGCGGCGCCGACGGATGCTCCGCACGGGGTGCCTCACGCCCTTGACAGCCTCGAGCAGGTGCAGCAGCACCTGGCTGCAGTTGCATCCACCCGCAACTCCCCACGCCTGGTGGTGCTGGACGATGTGTGGGAGCGCGAGGTCGTGGACGCGTTTGTTCCTCTGGGCTTTAAGCTGCTGCTGACCACGCGTGATCGGTCGATTGTGTGTGATCCGGCCGGGCGTTTGGAGCTGGGAGACATGACAGAGGAAGAGGCGCTGGAGCTGCTGCGGAAGACGAGCGGGACTGTGGATCCTGGGGACGACGTCCGCATGAAGATGACCAAGGTGATCGATGGGCCTTGAATCTCACGTCGACATCGTGTGTAAAGGTGTGCTTGTTTTTGTTGATGCTTAGTTTCATACAAGGCATCCCTCCAGAGTGGGGTAAAGAGAGCACCGCGGCAGGGGGTGATGCAAGAACATGCAAAGAGCAAACACAAATATTTTATTGTAGAGTACGCACGGTTCGTTCCTTCCACACTCCGCATTTGCCTTTTTCTGGTGCTGCGTCTCCCACCGCCGCGGATTCCAGGCCAAACGATTTGAAATTCATGGGAGCCGTATGGTCGCCCAAGAAACGCACACACACACCCTCGCCACAAGCGGGCGGAGAAGCGTTGTATTCGCGCGTTTAGCATGCAAACAGTATGTTGTAGGGCAGTGACCGTAGCATCATGGTGTGTGTCGCACATTCCGGAGAGAAGAAGAGGCCACACATTCCGAAGAAAATGTATGTATGTATGTATGTGAAGGTGGGACGGATCGAATGAATCCAGACAGGAGCAGCGCGCTTGTGTTTGTTTTTCAAATATTCAAAGAAAGATGGATACATGTAAGCACACACAGCCAAACCATCACGTAGTACATACAACATACACGCATGTTACGTACTGCACCCACCACGACGGGGGGGGAACAAATCAAACAGACAGAAACGGAAATGAATTATTCGAAACGAACTCACGTCCGCAGCGACCTGGGTGCAGAACTATTTTGTCGTCATTGTTTGTTGTACGTTCATATAACGTCGTTCTATGTTCGGTCCAACCTGCCGACCTTGTGCAATCTGTGCTGCTGGGGGTTGTGGCGTTCTTGTTTGCTATGTACCACAGCGTTTTTTGGCCTGTGCCTCACAAGGGTGAGAGCCAGGGAGGAGGTGCAATATTGCAGTATGGTGAGCAGCGAAGAGCCGAGCAGCAGAATAAACAGCAGCAGGAGAACAGCGGCACAAACGTCTGGGAGTCGAAGACAGCAGTAGAAAAGAGAAAAGTCTAACAAAACAGGCGGCGGGTGTTGTTCTGAGTTGAAGAGAGGGCAAATGGGACCGACCGACAGACAGCTAACCTCGCACCATCAATCAGCCGCGCTTCGAGCCACAACAGCGCCCCACCTCTTAGTTGCTACAGCACTTGAATGGCCTACCCGCTTTACTAAACGGTTCAGACCTTTCTCGCGGGCGGGCGTGTTTGTTGTTCCTCCAGTGTGCCGGTCGCGCCGGTGGTCTAGTTGGTATCCGCGAAACCTTCTAGAGGTCAGGTCAGGGGTTCGAATCCCGGCGTAAGCGAGATTTTCTTGCAAAGTGAGTTTTCTCTCGCTTCCGCTCCTGGTCTAGTGGATAGCGCTAGTTCGTGTGTACACAGAGGGAAGAGAGTGCTGAACTCTTCTCGCATTAAAAATCGAAGGCAAAGTACCGCAGAAGGGGAGGGTAGAGAGGGGCTCTTCTGTGTGACCGCGGGTTGGAGTAAACGGCACTAGCGCTGTGAGCGCTGATTTGAAGTAAAGACAAGAAAAAAAAGAAAAAAAAAAAGTGTGCAGGTTGCACGGAGTACAGACGTGTGCGTTTTCGAAACTGCTGTACACGGAATCCTGTGACCAAGCAAGGCGTTATTCGCTGTTTTACTCGCTACTGCTGTGCTAGAAGAAAAGAAGGTTACAGCTGCCACAAAGAACATGAAAGACTCTCCAAGTCGAACAGCCGCCAGGAAACAGAATGGAACTTCCGGTGGGCGTCCGTTTGTCCGGTGGCGGTGTGTTTTTCCGGTGGAGGCGATTACGCCGCACTTGCCACCCGAAAAATCGCACCCGAATTTTTTCGTTGAAGGCCGGATCGTTTTTTTGAACGAGGAGATTTTTCCAGCTGGAGAGGAGAGCATGGTGGCGAAACGACACCAGTTGCAACAGCACACCATACTGGCTTCGAATCTGTACGCGGCGAAGGCCGAATACGTCTGAGTTCGCAGCTGAGAGTATCGGGGGAGGTTTGTTGGGAGGGTGGTGGAACGTGGCACGCTAAGGCTTTTCCCGCGCCGCGCCTAATAGGTCTTCTTCCTCTCCCACAAGCGCACACAGAGCTGCGATCGTGGTGAGTTGTATACACTCGGCGTACCGCTCGGCTGCCAGCCTCCCTCGCGCCAGTCGCGCCATGGCTGTAAGCGCCCTGCTACAGCGAGCTGCTGTCCAACTATAACATAACCACGGCGCTCACACGCATACACCGCCGTCAGCGCCGCGCGCGTTGGTTTTCAGCAATTTTCCCGATGTTTTTTTTTCTACGGTAACGGGGTTCAACCGGGTCGAACCGACACGATGCGGCCCAATTCTGGACAGGATCTTTTCTACAGCAACTTAGCCTCCAGGGAATTCGCTGCTGGGTAAACTGGACCGGATACACAACGGCCTTACAGGAAATCCCGGGGGGAAACCCTACAATAACACCGAAACAGCCTCCACTGCTAGCGACCAGCCAACCCAAATGTATGCTGTTCTTACATTGATTGTCTGCTTGAGTGCCGTCGGGAGTTGAACTTGGCATCGGTTGGTGGCGTCACAGATGTTTATGCGTCGAACAACGCACCTTGAGGTAGGTTTGGTGCTTCAGTCTGCTCTGATTGGATGCCTCCCGTTCCCCGTGACGGCGAGAAAGGCATGGCACTGATGACGGCTTTGATGTTGAGTGGTGCGTGAACTTGTTCTTTTCGATGGTCAACCCATGTCGTCGCCAATTACCTCCCCGTAGAGCCTGCTCTTTTATTCGTTTCAACTTGTCGTTACGATAATGGCGTCCCCAAAACTGAAAATTAAAAAATATCCAAAACAAGAACCACATATTGATACGGTGGAGCAGATTGACTTGTTGTCGAGGGTCCTTTCCTGAAACGCTCATGTAGATCATCTATCTCCACACCCCTGTCATGCAGCACGCATCATGCAGCGCCCGTTCTGCTTTCCACTGCTGCTGCATCATGATTCTGGCGTGTTGTGCTTGCTAGGGAATGTCGCACATGAACCAGAAGCAGCTCTGTGTAGCCGAGATGATTGCACAACCTCTCCGAAGAAGGGAACGAGGATGTCGGAGGCGTGAACCGTGTGGTGATGGCCCCCCATAGAGCTGTTACGCCCTGTGTGCATGGAAGAGTAATACACTGCTGTCAAACATATCATCGTGCTCAACTCGACTGAGCATTCGACTCCCGACGAACGCCGATCCAGGTCGTTGCGCTTTGTGGACACCTGCCGTTGGTGCTCGCTATCGCGGGTTCCATGTCCGCCGTGAAGGGGAAGGGCTTGACTGCCGTCGCCTGGGAAGAGCTTGCCAAAGAGTTTGAGAACGTGGCCAAGAAAATGAGAGCTCGGGGCCAGCAGTCATCGTCTATCAAAGTGGTCCTTGAGACCACTTTCGACTCCTTGGCAACACGGAAGCAAAAAGAGTTTCTGATGATGGCTGTGTTGGCCGCGGGTGCTCTTGCGCCGATCGAGATGCTGTCTAATCTGTGGGAAATAGAGGTACGTTGGGGCGTCCCTTTTACCAGGTAGTTGGAAGTCGTGAAACGGTTTGCAAATCTTGTGCCTGTTAGATGTACGGGCACGTTGGTGGTTTGCGCGAGTGCATACGCCCTGGTTTTGACGGGTTTTGAAAGTGTGCTGACCCCCGTTCATGTATGTCCGGTGTTTCGTGCAGGACGCTGAGGGTACGCATGCCGAAGCTGAGGGTCTGGTGAGCAAGTACCTCCTACACGCCGTGGGTGGTGGTGGGTACCGTATGCACGACCTGGTCCTGGACTTTGCGAAGACTAGCATCAGGGCAGAAGAGGAGACGGTGAAAAGGGCCACAGCGCTGCAGGCGCAGTACCTCGGGAGACTGGACGTGGTGGAGAGTTACGGAGACCCGGAGCACGGCGCTGGAGACCAAGGAATTTTCTTTTTGGATGCGCTCTGGCGCTCGGTGGAGAAACTCTCGGGGGACCCTCAGCTGGAGGTTGCCTCTTATCGCGCCAGTCTCGGGGCGTTGGAGTGGGGCGAGGCGACGGAAGCCGCAGCGAGATCCTACTTTTCTGTCGGTTTCTTGTTCAACGTCCAGGTACGGCAGATATTTTGGGGGGATTCCGCACTATTCGGAGGGGTGTTCGTTGTCTATTACAGTACAAGGGCGCTTCGCGGACGACCGCTTTCGCCTGTCGCCGCTACGCTATTAGTAGGCTCTATGACGATGTCGAGTGTATACGGGCTGAGTTTCGAGATGAAAGGAAATATGTGTTCTATTTTTTTAGAAAACTACCCTTTGTTCTTCCGCCTTTTGCATCTTCTCGCTGTTGCAGGGCAAATTTGAGAAAGCCGGACAATTGAATGAACGCTCTTTGCCATCCCCGAGAAACCTCTAGGGCCTGATATCTCTGATGTGGCCGCCTCGCTCAACAACCGGGTGTGGTTCTTGAGAAAGTGTTCCTCCGCACTTAACTTTAGTCTCCTTGACTACACCCACACCATGTTGTTTTTCCGTTTCCAAGTTTGGCAACGCTGAACAACCGGGCGGGGTTGTTGATCCAGGTATCAAAAATCTCCCGGAAATGTTGTAGGGTCGCCATTGGTCGGGGAATCTTCAAAATTCTTTATTAACCGCTCCCTCACCGTACTGCACGGCTTGCTGCGCAGGGCAAGTACCGTATATGACACAAGATAACACACCCCCTGGACCGATTTTCAGAGCTCGATTACTTCACGACGAAGATGATGCATGGACGAAAGGATACATTTTCAGAGAGCTGTCGACCAGACGGCTTCAACGCCGCCGTTTTCGGCCCTGCGACTGTTGCTGCTGTTGGAAAATCGAGCTTTGAAAATCGGTCCAGGGGGTGTGTTATCTTGTGTCATATACGGTATGCTGAAGCGGAGCCACTCTATGAACGGTCACAAGCAATACGAGAGAAGGTGCTGGGTCCCCAGCACCCGGATGTGGCCCGGTCGCTCAACAACCGGGCGTTGGTGTTGCAGAAACAGGTGAAAGCCAAACGATGCTGCATCAAGAAAAAAAAAATCATCTGCAGTTCTAGATCCGACTTGTTCTAAAGCACGACCCACGCTGTCGACAGCATTCCAGGGGAAGTATGCCGAGACCGAAATCTGTGAGACAGCGCTAGGTTGTGAACATCCAACCGTCGCCACATTTAGACGTCGAGATTACATTTTTGTGTCCAAAAACGTGTCCATGGTCGTTTGCCGAACGTATTAGATCCAGTGCAAAGTAACCAACCAACGCTCCCGAAACTGGACTCTGACGTCACCAAAATTTTGCCACGCGCAACTAATTTTGTAAACACCACCGAGGCGTACGAAGCACACTGCACACAACACACACAGCCACCGCACTGCCAGCAAAGGATCATGTGCGCTGCGCTGGCGGTTCAGGAATACTAGTATCGCCGATCAGTTGGAGCGGCAGCGCATGCATATGTAGGCGTTTACAGCAGTACAGCAGCACAGCAAGGGATGGAACTTGGAACATGCAGGAGGAAAAATTATGCCGAATAGTTTTATTGTCGACAGGCGATCCTTGGCCGATGTTTCTCTCCGTTCTGCCGTTGCCCATAAGCCGTCGCAATCGATGTCAAGCATATGCTCAGCTAGCCCTAGTCACACTGGTGGAAGCACTTTACTTTCTTCGCCCTTGATGGATTCGTTTCACACCACGCACACGTATTTTCTAAAAATCTTCAAGTAGGAGCCTGGAGCCAGATACTGAGCTATATCAGACCGATACACTGCTCTGCTGCCACAATCACGCACAAGCACGTTTTTGAGACCAATTCATCGAGGACGAGCAAAGTTGAGAGCTTCCGATAACCGGTATAAGCAGCGCTTGCGGCGCATGTGCTCAGGATCACCTGTCGCAGCTTGTGGACGGTGGGAGCACGGGTGAAGAAAAGCTCGGACATGCGTGATTTTTCGACACTGTTTGTTTCGTGGATTTTCAGGATATGTCATTTGCCCCGCGTTTTCAAGCACTACGAATGGCGATAACGCTTCGCCGCGGCTGCCGTTTTGTGCGTCTGAGCGTTTGGCTTCGCACGCTTAGCTGCACGGTAAGGTGGTCGTTGTACTTGATAGCCTTCGCGCGTATGTCCAATCGTGTCACCGGTGGGCTCCAAAAAAGCGCCGTGGACCAACGAATGCTGGCAACGAAAATCCGACGATGATTTTTTATTAGGTGATACCTACTTAGAAAATTTGCCCCATTAGAGCCCAAACGGGCGCACGTGCCCCTCAACGGACCAGGCGTTCGGGACGCGACTTTTTGTGACGTGTGCGCAGAAACCAAAGCTATTAATCAACAGGAACAGATTTTCGAGTTCACGGGAGAAAATCGAGCACTGGAACCTCTCAAAAAAACTATGTTCGCGGCCTTCCAGAGTGCGGAGAGAAAAAATGGTATTGTTGATTCATAGTGCATGGTCTATAGACAGGTGTCGTAGACTACGAAGAGTCAACTCTCCGCCTGGAGCCAGTAGTACATGCGCCCGTTTTCTAGTCTAAATCAGAGCATATAAAAAAATCGGCCAGAGTAAAGAAAAAAAAAATGAGGTGATCGTTACGCCGTTTTTTCTGGTCGGTAGCGGTGTAATCTCGAGGTCTAACAGGGCTCAACAACCGGGCGGGGTTGGTGCACAAGCAGGTGAGGGCCGCAGACATTTCGACAAATATTCTTTGTGGTGACCTTTGGATATCTAGTGCTCAACATAGGGTCTATATTTGTCGATGAGTGGCTTCAGTTTTTGCAAGACCGCCCTCTCGCATCCCCAACTGCTTTCTATGCAGGGCAAGTACGACGACGCCGAGTCACTGTATAAGCGATCACTGGCCACACAAGAGAAGGTGCTTGGTCAAGAACATCCAGACGTGGCCCAGTCGCTCAACGACCTGGCGGGGTTGTTGAGAGCCCAGGTGAGAGCAGTCAGATTTCTTCAGAAAATTTCGTACAAGGGTCCATTTTCGTCCGGTGAATATTGTCCTTGGTGAATCGCCCCCTCACCATAACCCACTGCTTGGTATGCAGGGCAAATACGCTGAAGCCGAGCCACTCTATGAACAGTCACAAGCCATACGAGAGAAGGTGCTGGGTCCGGAGCATCCTGATGTCGCCACAACGCTCAATGATCGGGCGAGGTTGCTAGAGAGCCAGGTACGATCCGGACGATGCTTCGAGACGCTTGTAGATGCTTCTAGAAGAGAATGTTCCTCCGCAGTGCTAGATCTTGTTTGGCTGAAATCTGACTCTTCCGCTCTGGTCGTGACTTCATACAGGGCAAGTACGTCGAGGCCGAGCCACTCTATGAGCGGTGCCAGGCGATATACGAAAAGGCTTTCGGCCCTGAGCATCCCGATATGGCCGCAACGCTCCACAACCAGGCGGGGTTGTTGTGCAAGCAGGTACGAGCCATCAGATTTTTCCTAGAGAAATCGTTGTAGTGCACTGCTGTTCTATGGGAATTCATTGGCCATACAAGAGAGGTCTCTCGGTCTGGATCATCCCGATGTGGCCGCGTCGCTCAACAATGGGGTTGAACTATTGATTGCACTGGTGAGCATTTTTGGAGACAGGACGCGTTTAATCGTGTTGAGCTTCATTTCGGGTGTTCCACAGCTGAGCGTTTGGCGTTCTTCTCGATCGTAATACCAATAATGAGCTTTTTTCTCTGCAGCCCAAGTATGCGGAGGCAGAGCCACTGTTTGAGAGATCGCTCGCAATACTAGACAAGACCCTGGGTCCGGATCATGTGGATGTGGCCCCACACATGTGCCATCGCGTTCTAATTTCGTCGTCAGCGCACTTATTGACTGTTGAGAACTCTGCCGCGTTTTTCTGTTGAGCGCTGTGATTGCGCGCATCAACCACTCATACACTTCTGCGCAGGGGAAGTATGCCGACGCTATGCCACTCGTTCAGAGGTCATTGGCCATTCGAGAGGATACCTTAGGTGTGCATCATCCTGATGTGGCTGCTTCAACCAACAGCTATGCGGAGCTGTTGAAGGCACAGGTGAGTTTTTTGAGACACGAAGCTTTTGAGATCGTGGTTGACATAGATGGGATTGACAGCTACACGAGCGACCTGACTTGGGCTGATCTCTCGGGAATCTCCGTGGTGGTTTCTCGCGCAAGTGTTTCACCACCTGTAGCATACCTCGATAAAGGATGCTTTGTGAAGTGTTTTCTCACACCAGCATGTAGTTCTAAGAAAACAAATAGAAAAACGTGTACAATGGCGTCCGGACCACTTTGTGTGGTAATCGTGTAGGCGTGGTCTGTAGTTGAAGTGAATAATTTTCGCGGGTTTTCCCGGTACTCTTGAAGTATTGTGGTCCGTTGGGACATGCAACCTCTCACACACAGGCTGTAGCTACACGCACACCTCGCTGCTAAATTCAAAGTTGCATTTTCTGGATATGTGATCCAGCCCCTTCATCGTGGTGACCACGTTCAGCCGGACCGTTTAGTAATGTGTTTTTTAGGCGTACATAGGGCGTGTATCTCTCCTGCGTATGGCAATAGGCTGTGGCAGAATTTGAGACGACGCAACTCAATATTGCGACGCTGATCAAGTGTTACCTACCTCGCAGGGGAGGTACGACGAAGCTGCGTTGTACTTTGAGCGTGCGGGCAAGATTTGGGAGAACGCGCTAGGGCCGAAGCATCCCATGGTTGCTACGGCACTCTACAACCAGGCGGAGCTGCTGGAAACACAGGTGGGACTTCATAACTTCATGTATCCCAAATGATGTGATGTAGAATATCACGCTCTTCATGCGCCCGCTGGAATAAATGGAGAACACTAGAACTCGACAGCCGAGTGCGGACAGGAAAAGAGGAGGGCGTGGAGGAGGAGGCTTGGGATGGTCCGGCGTTCGCTGCTGATATGTACTTTGCCGTCGCCTAACTTCCCACGCCGTGTTCGTCAACGTACTATCTCTGCTGCCCCGTAGGGTAAGTATCATAAGGCCGAGGAACTCTACCGGCAGTCGCTGGCCATACGAGAGCAGATGCTGGGTGCAGACCATCCGGATGTGGCAGTATCGCTTAACAACATGGCGAGATTGTTGGCGACACAGGTGAGACTGGTTATGTGGTCATTCTGACCCCGGAATGCTTGAGCCGGATCTGATTTGAAAAGATCGTCAAAGCGGTAGCCTTTTCGTTGTGAAGTTCCCGTTTTCAGGATAGAAAATTTGATGAAATCTTCATTTGTAGAGTATCCCTCACCGAAAAACGGAACACACGGTTCAATCGTTTGCTCTCCACAGGATCGGAACGAGGAAGCTGAAGCGCTATTCGAGCGTGCGATTGCGGTTTTGGAGGCGGCATTGGGGCCGGACCATCCCAACGTGGCCATCGTGTTGATCAATCAAGCGGGACTATTGATGATACAGGCAAGAATGATCATTTTACTCACCCCGAGGTACATGTTTAGTGCACACAGATTTGATACAAGGCCGCGTTTGGCGTATTTCGGCGATATCTTCATGCTTCAGAAAAGCACGATCTCGCCTTGCGCTTCGTCCCCATTGCTCAAAATACTTGTGACCCGAGACATCATACGACAATCTTAGGTTGTTAATAGGGAGCAGGTGTCGTGAAAGCACGCATTTGCTCGTTCTATGGAAAATGAAGCTGGGTCTGCATGCCCCCTAACGTCCCAGAATTCGCGACGAACATTATGGTGTCGCCCGTTCTTGATGTGAATAGCAACCACCTGTCCTTTCCTGCGCAGGGGAAGTATGCGGAAGCCGAGGTACTTTGTCAGCGGTCCCTGAAAATACAAGAGAGCACCCTGGGGCCAGACCATCCCGATGTGGCAACATCGCTTCACGACACGGCAGGTCTCTTGGAACTTCAGGTATAACTTTTTTTACGTTCCAAATATGCAGTGGATAGCGAAAAAGCTGGTGAGTATGTGCGCACTAGACGTAGACTTCGCTGTCGACGAGGGAAAGGGACCACTGAACCCTCCGTGCGATAACATTCAGCAGGCTCGCAACGTAGGAGGAAGGTGAGGCAAAAAACAAGAAGAAAATGAAAACAACACCCCCCTCCTGTGTGACCCCGGCTGCTACATCTATTTGTACAGAAAACGTACACCAAAATGGGTAGCCCAAGAGGAGATGGCAGATGCAAGAAAACATACGAACACGACACGGAATCCAGATGGAACTCGTCACCAACGTTTTCCTTGTTTCTGAGCGTTAACCGTCGTTTATCTCCCAAACTAAATCCCTCGTGTCTGCGTAGGGCAACTACGATGAGGCGGAGCCGCTCTACAGGCGGGCACAGACCATCCGAGAGAAGATGCTGGGGCCGGACCACCCAAAAGTGGCTGCATCGCTCAACAGCCTGGCGGGATTGTTAACGATACAGGTGAACGCCAACTATCGCATCTGAAAGCATGTTGGAACAGATCTTTCAAAGACAGAGCATAACAGAGTTGTTTTTTGCACGTGATGCATGAGTTATTGGGGTTAGAATGCTGTGGAAAACTGGTGAGGCTTGATTCAACCGAATGCCCTTGCTATGCTCAACAGTAGCATCCACCGACCCCGCTGTTGGACCGAATATCTCTGCGCACCAGTTGGATGTATCAGGCTGTTTCTTAAGCACGGTATTTTTGGGTGATTTTTGTTTCCTCTCTCTCTCTAAGCGGGGGTGGCCTGCAAGGGAAAATTAATTCAGATCCGAGGGACCTTCTCACGGCTCCTAGTGACATGTTTTTTCCCCGTTGGAAAAACAAGGCTGATTCAAGTTTTTTGTGGGTCACCACATGCTTCAGCTCACGTTTTCGACTCGTGTGCGGCCAACAAGGCACAGAGTGCCCTGTTTTTGGGTCGCCTGCAGAGGGTATGTGTATGAGCGCACGCTATTCGCTGCAGTTTGTGGATGTCGTCGGCCTAAGGCCTCCCTCTGGCATGCGTTTGTGGACTGATTACTCGCGGAGCAACCAGAAAAAAAAGGCAAAGTCCAAACACGTCAACACCGAAACACACTTGGATTAACGTTCGCAGGCCGTTTGCAATCAAAACGGGACTACGCTCTGTTTATGGGACGCTAGCAAAGGGTACGTGTATGACCACATGCAATAGGCTGTACTTTGTGGATGTCGTCGGCCTAAAGCCTCCCTCTGGCATGCGTTTTTGGCTGGTACCGGGTGACACACGGAGCCAACACGTGTGGACCAAGAAAAAAGTCCAAAAGTCAATACCGAAACACACTTCGGTTCACGTTTGCAGGCCGTGCGGCGGATTCAAAGCTGAACAGTACGCCCTGTTTCTGATATGCGAGCAGAGGGTATGTGTATGACCACAATGGATAGACTGCAGTTTGTGGGTGTCGTCGGCCTGAAGCCTGTCTCTGGCATGCGTTTTGACTGGTTACATATGCGCACCGGTCGCCCCGGTGGTCTAGTTGGTAACCTCGAAACCTTCTAGAGGCCAGGTCAGGGGTTCGAATCCCGGCGTGAGCGAAGTTTTCTTGCAAAGTGAGTTTTTCACTCGCTTCCGCTCCTGGCCTAGTGGATAGCGCTAGTTCGTGTGTACACAGAGGGAAGAAAGTGCTGAATTCTTCTCGCACTAAAAATCGAAGGCAAAGCACCGCAGGAGGGGAGGGTAAAGAGTAGAGAGGGGCTCTTCTGTGAGACCACGAGTTGGAGTAAACGGCACTAGCGCTGTGAGCGCTGATTTGAAATGAAGACAATGCAGCAGGCACAAAAACGGCTCTTTTTGGCTTAAAGACAAGAACCTCAGCAGAACCAAGTGGCAACGTTGACGTTTATAGCTCGTGTGCGTCCAGCGAGACGTAGGACGCCCTGAATGTTTGATAACTTTCAAAGGGTTTGTGCATGACCTCACAATACCGATCTCTGTTTGGGCAGCAGACCGCGTTGTTCTTCGTTCTGGCACGGTCGGCGTGTGACCTCCCCCAATTCCAACAGCGAATATATCAGCCGATCCAGTTAGAAAATGGGCTTAGTTACTAACTCGTCAGCTGGAACCCTTGGAAATATTCGGGCTGTGAGAATGTGGGCTCTAGGAATTTCCGTTTTCCTCCCCGTAAAAAAAAGAAGGAAATGACGCCCCCCCCCAACTCAAAACCCAGAAAAAATGTTTGCGTACGAAACCGCCTCAACTTGAGAAGTTGCACATTGCACAATCGTGTTCACTTCCTCACCCCGCAGTGCCGCTACAAGGAAGCCGAAGGTCTATACGAGCGTGCAGCTGCGATTCTTGAGGTGGCGCTGGGGCCGGAACATCCCAACTTCGCCGCAATTCGCAAAAACTGGTTGGGTCTATTGGAAAAACAGGTAAACACGATCGTTTCATTGACCTCCAGGGCATTCGTGTGATGTCGTGAGACATGCAGTTCGTGAGAAATCCATTGCTGCTTTATTAACCTCCGGTCAACATATCACACCGGTACCTACGTGCCTGGATACAGGGGCGACACGAAGAAGCCGCGCATCTTTCCGAGCACGCTCCCCCAAACTTTTCGTCGACAGCCAAAGGCGGTTCTATGGATGACTCTCCCTTCGAAGGTGGTGATGGTTTGCAAGGTAGGCATTTTCGATGTCAAGTGTTTGTCATGATCGAGCGACCACTAGCCAGATGCGAAGGGTTGTTGCTAGTTCTCTGATTCAGAATATCCATGCGGCACGTGTAATCGATGGACGATATTCCAAATTGTCGTTAGATGTACCGGTCTCGCACACCCAGGCTTGATTGATGTTCATCTGTTGTCGCCCAATCGTCTAGGGCGAGCGTTGATACTGGACGACATGAAGGGCGCCTCCGAACTTCACAAGGCCGCGTATGGCGGGGACGTGAAGTTGGTGGAGGAAATCCTTTCTTCTCGCAGCTTGCTCCCAGACATCCGGGGGAACATCAGCATGACTCCGCTGCACTATGCCGTGATACAGGGTCACAGAGACTGTGTGTGGGTGCTATTGCGGCACGGCGCCAACCCTGACCTGCAAAATAGCAGCGGGTTGACCGCTCTTCACATGGCATGCGCTAACCTTTCCCATCAATTGGTTAAGCTTTTGATGGACTCGGGCGCTGACCCTAACATGAAAGACGACCGCGGGCTGGAACCGAAGGGTCATGCCCAAAACGACGAAGAATTGGAACTCTTGCTGACGCTTGGAAAAGGTACGTATCGAGAGTCCTCCGCTCACCCGCGCCATCATCGCCATTGCCGGCCATACCGGCCGATGTCATGATGTATTTGGAGGTTCGATTTGCCGATGTGCCGCCGTCATACTGTGCACCGATCGCAAATAGAGGCGCCAGCATCGGAAAGAAGACGAGACTGGATATTTTGTATGCGTCTCTTTCGTAGTTTTCGAAGTCAGCAGTTCTTCGATTCCTCGTTTGAAATTTCCTGATCGACATGTTGCAACTATGGCAGGTTACCGAATTGGAAGCGGCAAGGACGCGGTCAAAAGTGCTCCTCAGCTACAGCAGATTCTACCCCTCATGCTCACCTTCCTTGATAGCCGCAGCTGGTGTCAGTGCCTGAGTGTTGGTCGCTCAGCGCGTGATACCGTTCGAGCGTTGATCTCGGGCTTGATGCCGGATGGGCCGAGGCCCGAAGAGGGATGGACAGGTGCGATCCACCGTTGTTTTTGTCGGTTCTCATCTGTACTCGAATAGACTAGGTGTTATGGCTCTCCGTCTTTGGGCCGTTCGTTAATGCTCGCGAATGTACTTGGTCCGTATCTTCTCTACAGCGTGGCGGCGTACGTTATTCGTTCAAGCCCACAACCGGACCCCACCCCGATGAAGCCGTACACCCCTCGTCCGTTCCGTGCACCTGTTCTTGTTGGTAAAAGTCCCGCTAGATGTACTGACGCTGAAGACGGATGACGCAGGCGTTGCCTACCTGGCTGCCAATGAATGCGGCATCGCCATTCACGGCGAGGCAGGGAGCCTTGCGCACCTGAAAGCTGTGATTGTTCCACCTCCGCAGTCCGGGTTTATCTCGGTGGAGGGGGAGCAGTATATTGCAACGTCCCCCATTCTCCGCTGCCGGTGGACAGGAAACAACTGTTCGCAGGGTACGTGGACGGTGAGCTTTCCATTGGAGGAGGAGGACGGTTTGTCCAACCCAACGGAACTTTCTCAAGTTCTTTGCCGCGGTGATGAGCTTCAGGATGAGTGGGAGGTGCAGACGACCGGGCTGAAGGCCGCCACGCGGCACCCGTCCATGCAAGTTGAGGTCACTCACTTCTCGGACATAATCACGGCTGATAAGCTGCGCGAAATAGAAGCGAAATCTACGAGCATCGTCTACGAGCGCAAGAGGTCTTGGGTAAGTGATGATCCGCCCTTTCCGGGTGCGCTCGTGGAAATTTTAGTACGTTCAGAGCGGTTACTGGAGACCCAACGCGTGGCATACCCGGTTCGGAGACCTCAACACACTCACATCCAATCACTGAATTTCGACCAATCTGTCCTGAAAACCTGCGGTTCTAGTTGAGCGGCCTTGTACGAGAGTCGGATGCAGGAGATCTCCTAACAACGGGGATGAGTCGTCATCACCCTCTCTGCCTTCCTGCAAATAATCCTGGCTCGTGTGTCACGTCCATATTTTGATGTCAAGCTGCTACTACTTCGAAGGTGTAAGAAGCGGCGGTGCCGGAGCTCTTTCTGCGTTCGATATCTCGAACGTGGGAATGGGAACAGTTCTTTTTCGGGACATGGTCTGCGGGCTATCCTTATTTACTGCATGTCACATCATCGTCCACCCCTCTCCGTTCCTTTGGCCAGTTCTTTTCCAAGCACGTGCGTGTTTACAACGCTTCTTCCGAGGCCATGACTGTTCTTCAGATACTCCCGGCTGTGACGGAGTCGGCGAGAAGTGGTCAAGTGTCGGTCCCAGGAGGCGGTTTAGGCGGCAGTAGGAGTATCAATGTCAATGATGGTAACAGTGTAGATGATTGGCAAGAAATACCAGCTTGGGTAAACGCTAGTAGTGAAACTGGTTCAGCACCCCCCACCAATCCCGCCAAGCTGAGAACACGTCTCGGCATGAAGGCTATGCGCGTGATCCCGTATACTGTGACCGGAAGTCGCGTGACGAACGACCTGGAAGTGTTTCCCCGGCATATCTTTGAATGCTTAGCAGGATACGACTATTATCTGCTTCAAAAGATGATTTGCGGTTCGGGCAGGTCCAGGTTCTTGGCTGAGGATGTTGATGGCAATATGAGCGAGGAGAGGACAGTGCTAGACATAGTGAACCGTAGGAAGACCATTTGACTTCGATGACAACGCTTGCAAATGTAGCCGTGGCTGGTATTGTTTTTTGTTGCTTTCGTCCTATTTATTATGGCGACAGTCCCCCCATTTTTCGTGGTGAGACTTTTCAGCGTAATTTTCGGTAGTGCTGCATGGTGGTATGAGATGTCGTTTTCAACAGTGTTCATGCCCAAAATCCCTGCCGTGGGATATTTCCCACGCGGCCTCGCACATATACTCGTCAACCACCGACAATGCTTGTGAAGCGGAGGTTCGCGAGCTTTATGTCAGCATTCATAATTTTTGGTCGGGGTTCAGTTTCTGCCAGCGAAATTCTCAGACCAATATTCGAATTTTGACCCCTGTTTTTTTGCCCCAAGTGGCGCCGCATCCCGTTACTTGGGATTACTCTAGAGTTGGCGATCTCCGGTACTTCCGTAAACAAGTTGATTATTTCCCCTTCGATGTTCTCGAGATTGCAATGGCATATTTTCGAGTGAAGTTTTAGAGGTGTGCCTCCTGGCCCCGCCCGGCTTTCCGGCAAGTTTGGTACGAAACCTTCCGTCAGTTTTTGAGAAACTCGCCTCTCTCTTGTCTGTGCACTATTAGTCGCCTAGATGGCACGAAGTGTCCACCACGCCCTATGTCTTTTGCCTACCACAATCAACGCGCAATTACCCATCCGGCAAATACTCTTAGTTAGCAACAGTAAACAATGTTTGTAAGCGGCCCAGAGTTCCGCTCGTTGTACGTCGCGCTTAGGTTACCGAAAAAACCAAGGTTGCGTGGAAGGAGAAACTGCAAGAAAAACTCTTCGCACATGCCCAAAATCACAAACACGCGGACACCCACGCCCCCACACGGACGGTAGATCCGTCATGTTCACACCAGCAATGCGCTTCGTTTGACCGCTTTCGTGCGATCAGGCACACTCTCGTCATAGTTGGAACCTCCCTCCTTTCCCAATTTCAAGGAGGCACATCCCAGAGTGTGCGATTGAGCACATTCATTCCATGTAGGCTACCAGTACAGACTATATACGTAGACGAGCTTACGTCTCAGTACGATTCGTTCAGTTCTAACGTGCTGCCCTCTCGCCACCCCTCCAAGATTGCAGTGCTAGTGAGGAAAGCACAACATCGCCTCGGAAGTTTAATCGCCATCAATCCTCGCGTGTCACAACACCAGCAGGCACTTCTCTCTACACATGCAACACAGGGCGAGAAAAACCACCTTCGATAGTATTATGTTTTGTACAGGCACCAAAATGTCAACTACAATAAATTCCACACGGTCAAAGATTCGAAGGGGAAAACAAACCGCACACAACCTTACACGCCTTTGTGGTCCAGAAAAAACATACAAAAATCCCTTACATTCCCCCGACACGGACGGACGGGTGTTCCTCTACAGCAAGTTCACTGCTGTATGTTCATATTTTCAAGCCCTCTAGATTTTTGAGCTTGGAAAACAAGTCATACTACAGGTCGTTCGACTCACCCTCGTCATACAAGCCATAAGCCGGGAAGAACCACCGTCTCGCTTTATGTCCGCGTAAGGTTGGAGCAACAGCGTTCACGTCGACTTCGACGACAGAGGACCGTGACAAGACGGCACGAAAAAAAATGCAAGCCTTGCGATCGTTCGAGTACTTTTGGCCTCGCAGCACGCACCCGGCTCCTCTCCTTCTACGACACTCACGCAACGAGGCTTTCATGACATTCACCACTGAGTCCCCCTTTAGCAAATCTACAGTAGTGGGACAACACTAACCAGGAATACCTGGTATCATGGTATCAAATACAGCAAAAAAAGATACAAGAGTCACCTGAGAAAGAGTCAGATTGCAAAGCTCCGAAGGCATCGCACTTTCAAAGACTGCTGTCCAACGGTCCAATTTCCAACACGTACGGGTCGTCCAAAACCACCCTACCCACCCAAAGCCTATGGTTCCTCGCATGCATGAGTGTTCCGGTGGTGCCCTCGACGTCGTCACACGTAAACGGCAAACCAAACACAACAAATAAATTAAACATCATTCGCAATACCAAGGGCACCATCACTCGTTGGTGGGTGGTGCTACCTCAGCCCCCCCCGCTGCCAGATCCCCCACCCACACCCCCCCGGCGTTGCTACCGCCACCACCTCCACCTCCTCTGCCGGATCCGCAACACTCACGAATCCGGAGTGTACACGAAACCGGTCGGCACTGGTGTGTTACACATTTTGCATTTCACCACCGCCTCCGGGATGTGCCACGAGCACGTTGGGCACCCTCCGGGAGGAACGATAACCTGTGTGAGGGGAAGGCGAGTGCCAATGAGAGTGAGTACCCCCCGGGCTTGGGATACAGTACTCCTGCCACCGGAGGAGGGGAACCCGTCGACAACGTGGATGGCTTACGTACGTACGCAAACTCTGGAAAGCAGGGGCAGCACCGCTAGGTAACGGGCTGGGATATGATGTCAACCTTCCGTCAACATACCTATGCGTGCGGGGCACTCCTGCATGAAGCGCTCACCTGGTACCTCGCGTTTTCCCTTCACTACTGTACATGTTACATGTTACAGGGGGTGGAGAACGCAAATCTAAAATTCTTGAGAGCAACGTTAACTCTACCTGGGACTCAGTCTCCAGCGTCAAGCGCCGACGGAGCTCCTTTTCGCCGTCCTCGTTCGTAAGCTGCGGGAGTTTCAACGCACCAGCTAGGGCGATGCCAACTCTGGAGCAAGTTTCAATCCGCAGATCAAAGTGTGGCAGAGCACCCTTCCGAAGAGCGATGCCGTCGGCAAGGGGAAGGTCGGTCGAAACAGGCCCGAAACAACCCCATTTCTTCCTGGTTTCATCGTTGCACAGCTGTAAGACGAAGGTAGGCCAACACATACGAACAAACCGCATGATTGGGGAAGGTTCTGGTTAGGGAATACAGACGAAAGCATCAAGCGACTTTGACGGGACAACGACCTCGAAGGAGGTTGAGCAAACGCACAGCTATACCGGGAGCACGTGTGGGGGATGAGCGACGGATTTGCTATCCGAAAGTGTGGCACTGTGCAGGTTGCAATATTCTTAGGCCTTGATAATATGTGGGCTGTGGTTGTGCGTTGTCCGAAGGTGACTCAACAGAGAATATCGGGTGGGTGTGATGGCTATGATACGCTAACAATGAGTGCTACTGTAGAATTCAACCCACCCTTCTCGGATAAGAGACACAAAGGGAATGCGGTACAACCAATCCTCTCGACAGTCACACACTCACCATTGTTTGGAGATCGCCGTCGGGGTCAAGGTACTCAGCCACAAGGCCGGCGCGAACCCCCAGAAATTCGCACGGCCTGAGGTCGAACATGTCACCTGTGGTGTAGTTGGACACCGTGGCGAAACCGTCCTGGGAAAAAACGGCATTGACGAACACGGGTACATGTTTTAAGGATCCGATAGCACGGGTGTTCAAGCATTCCATCTGTGCAACTTCTCCGGTCTCCAGACATTTGCATGAAGTGCAAGAAGGATGGCGGTGGCAGCGCCTCTGTTCCAGTAGTGCAATACACTCTCGTTGTTGGGGCCTCTTAGTCCCCCTACAGAAGTGTTGAGGTGTGATTCTGGGTTGTGTTCCACAGGAGTTCATGCACGGCCCTCATGAGGACATGATGCGGGAAGCCATCACAGCATGCGTGTCCATGCAAGCAAAAACTAGGTGTATGAGCGCCAAAATCGATTTGTGCACTATCTACCAATGATTGGAAAATCGCAAAATAGACGGTACATACATTTCGGACAAAAATGGATGGCCACCATGCTGGAAAACAGGGCATGCGAAGTCTTTGCCAGTGTCCCGGGGTTCGAGATACAGAGCATTCTAGCGATCGGGCTATGCAGGTATTATTACAGAATCATGACAACAGACCAAAAACGAAGACAAGTGGGTGCAGTTGCCTTTCGATATAGCTATTCGAGACGGTATTGAAATCAGATGATTGGGACAGCCGCTTGCTTGTGAGAGTTTGCCACGTCGCTCTCAAGACTGTGTTGCTTTGCGGTCGTGGTGAGGAACATGCTGTTCAGCGACCACGTCCAATACAACCCCCAGAGCACTCCAGCTCGAAACCACCTTAGAGCTACAGAGGGTTGCAAACTGTACACATCGTGACAGGTCGTGCAAGATCTGCGACACTATCCCAAACGAAGAGACAATGACTGGACAACATCAAAACGATAAATAACCGGGACTCCTTGTTCCTCACTCACCACGATTTCGGGCGTAGCTGACGGTACCTTGAACACCATGGCTGCGATCCTGGTGGCGAGGACCATGCCCTTGAACAGGGGCGCGTTGAAAGTGCCCTCATGCCTCCGCTCGGTTCGTTTCGAGAGAGAGCGCACAAGGGTACCCACCAGAGCCGGCTTGGAGATGCCCGTCGTCTTCAAGTCAAGAAGCATCTCCACGAAGGAAACGAACCTTCTTACATTATCCTTTGAGGGGTTCGCGACAGAGGGAAAGAGACGAAAAGGATGATAGAAATGTCTGAGAACGTACCAGGGAGCTTGTGTAGCAAGACCTGCATCATTTGCCGGTTCGAGACGGCGTAGAGACGTTTTATCACTCCAGGCCGTGTTGGGCGGATACTTGTGATGGAGGGTCCACTGACTGCCATGCGTGCTCGTTGCCGAGCCCAAAGGCGACGCGGGAAATCGCTCGCACCAACGGGTTGGCGTCCCACCTACATTATGGTTCAATCCTAGTATCACCTGTCCGACCGAAGAAACACGGAATCTCTTTCTGAGGAACCAACAAGTTTCGTATTTCGGGAGGTCATACTCCATTCGCTCACTTTGGGCAGCGAGTGCGCGAAACTGGGTACGCGATGCTATCAACTTCTTCCGTCGTGAGGACGTACGTCGCCATTCCAACGTCAGCCAAATACCATCATCCACAGGTGAAAAGTTTTATATCATCCACAGGTGGAAATCATCATCTTTACAGTCACATCAGCCTGTTGTAGGCGAATACTGAGCAGACCCGTGACGGCGGTTCATGTACTATCAGACACAAGAGTAGTGTGCGGAGGTGAGTCAAAATGCGAAGAATACCCACCTAAACTATACACGCAGGAGAATGTTAACAAACGAACGTTACAAGCAGCTCCCTGAAGAACCGAACAAATGCTGTTCTGAATTTTTCGAAACCCGATGCCAACGACTAATGTCACAATGCACAAGAAATTCCGTCACCCGTAACAAGGTACTTGCACGATGCTGCCGTCCGTCGCCACAATGTTCTGCAAGGACGATGCTACGTCAGACTTCCATCTTGCTGGGACAAGTTAGACGGAGGAAAGATAGAGCTGAAAAGTACGCTTGGCGAACCGCCCAACGGGCCCACCAATATTGCAAACTTCATGCGTACTGCGATAAGACTCAGAGCACACCTTCATGTCGAGCGACAGCGCATCGTGCGCACGGCTACCCCGGCGAATAGCCCTGTAACGGGCAAGAAGGTCTTGAAGCTGTTGTGAGCAGTCCTGGCACAAGGCCCACAGCAGCACCGCAAGGCAGCAAGACGTCCAGAAACAGTTGCCGTCCCCTCGGATCGAGATGCCTATGGTCTGGCCCATCGAGTACACGCCCTCGACGCCAGGCACGTTCAAGGCCAAGAACGACTCTGCTTCCTTCAAGGACAGTAGCTTCTTGGACAACGCTACCTGAAAGAGGGCAAGGGTTACACGGTAACAAGATGGGTCTCAAATTGGGGAGCAAGCTCACGTCGCTTGCTGCAAGCGGCAGGCACCGCGACAACCTATTAGAGTGACCCTCACATATTCAAAGAGCGAATGAAGCCTTCAGAGCTTAGGGGGGGGGGGGTATGTGCAATCTGTCCTTGAGTGGGGACGCGGATGGGGCAGGCAGGGCGCAGTAGAGTGAGATGTCCGGAAGTGTCTCCGAACTGCACTTGCCAGAGACAGCGGAAATCGCCGCACAATGTGTAACCTATCAGCACGCGTGAATTGTTTCGGGGGGCTGCGTTTAAACTCTGAGAACGCCGGTACCGCTTCTTCTCCTACATACCTCCTTGTCGTAGCATCTTCCCTCGGAATCAGTCGAGGCGGCAGCGTGGGTCGCTCCTTGGTCGGAAACACCGGAGGGTGCCTGAGGCGAGGCAGGCCTGCCATTCACCCTTTCCGTGCCCTCTTCCTTCCCGTTCTCTTCCTCCTTCTCCCTCTGTTCCTCCTCCTTCTTCTCTGCCCCCTCGTTCTCCTCCCTCCACTCCTGCAGCGTGAACTTGCGGACCTTAACGTCTCCCCGCTCCTCTTGGCGAGCGTGCGGCTCGGGAGAGGCCGCCCCCTGTACGAACCCCTCCTCCGGCTGCTGCTGCTGATACCGCTGCTGCTGATACCGCTGCTGCTGCTGCCGCTGTTTCCAGTACAGCATACTCCGTTCCTGCCGCCGGATGTCCTCCTCGATCACGCATCCCTAGCCGTGCAGAACGTAGGCGAGCACAAGGGGTAGTGAATAAACGAAACAATTATGGAATACTCACAGGGGCACAACCGAGCGCAGACCAGCACAATATTCCACCCCGAGGAAGGTGCACCTTTTTCGTCCTGATTTCGTGTCGATACAGCCGTGTTGTTACTTTCAGAACATCACAAACCGTACCAAGTACTTGTACGATGAGCAGTTGCCGAAAAATGTCCATCAGACAAGTTCGAAAAAGATTTCGCTACAATCATCCCACTGTCTTGAATCCCCAAGACGTTGACACCTCAGGGCGTAATAGCACGCTGAAGCGCATATTACGGGACTACAAGTAGCCGTGATGAGCGCAAACCGGACGATATAGGAAGGGAGAACCAACAAGCCTTCCCAAGGTACTATGCCTTTGCTCACTGAACGCAAACCAACGTTGACATTGCCCTGGGGGCACTGATTTTCGTTTCGAACGAGACCTACAGTTCCTTGCGGTATCGACCGAGACTTATCAGCCGGAGTGATGCAAGCCATCAAGCGTTACGACATCGGTCGTGTACCTTCGCACCCGAGCCCCCCCCTTTGTCAAACCCGGCAGCGTTCTTGTTGGAGGACCTTTGACCCTTGGTCGCTCCTCTCGCGCCCCCTTGCCTCCTGACTCTGTTCAAAGCCGAAATGGCGAGGTCCTCCGGGCGTCCGGCGGGCCGGCCAAGCGTCTTGCTTCGCACAGCGGTAGGTACCGCGTTTCCACTACCGCCAATAGCAGCAGTCACGGTTGTCGAGGAGTTGCCGTGTTCGGCACCGGGTTGGACAGCAGGCGATCGCCTCTCCCTGCCGGCTTTCGCCCGGCACTCTTCTTGGCGCTTCGCCTCGCGCTTCCCTTGGCGCCGACTGGGCTGCTCCGAAAAAATTGCGGAAACCGACCTGGCCGCCTTTCGCGCCTGCCACGCCTTCTTGCGGCGGTCTCCGGCGATACCTCCAGCGCCGGTGAGCGGGGAAGAGGCAGCACTCCCATCGCTCGCCACCGCAAGCCCAGCGACAACCGTCGCCGCCGCCGCCGCCGCCGCTGCTGGTGCTGCTGATACCGCCGACTGCAAAGTTCCGGTGAACGAGGACGCGATGTGCAAGTGAGAACGAAGGGATTGAAGGAACACTCGGCCATCGGCGAAATTGCTCCCAACAGTACTACCGGTGCCCGTTTCGAGGTCTCAAAACGTTGCCCCATGGGTTGTACAAGAAGGCCGTTCACCTGGGAGATTGATCGAGGACACCACTTCGATAGTACAGCACAATCTAACCTGGGACACAGAGGTGCTGCGCGGCTCGACCACAAGCACGACCTCGCCAGTCTCCATAGTGAAAGCCACCCCCGGCCCCGACGCCGACCCAGCAGTAGCGAGATCACCACCAGCAGTAGCACCAGCACTAGCCGGAGCCCTCAGACCACTGGCACGAGCGGGAGGTCCCGCTGCGGCTGCCGCCGTGATGACCCGTACACCGTTCGCTTCCTCCAAGCCAGATGCGTCGGCGCCTACCCCATTCGTGACGACTGCGGCTGCTGACGCGCGCCCGCGGGACGGCAGGGTGACCGCAGGGGAGGGCTTCGGCGACGGGCTAGACCTACCCGAGACCCGTGCGGTCTCGCTTGTCACCACTGGTGCTGCTCGTGCTGGTGACTACAGAATGCCGGGAAACGAGGATCGCGAATATGAGATTGGTACGAGTACAGGTGAGAACCGAGTAGGGAGAGAAGGAACAACTGGCCATCGGCTAACACCACTCAACAATGCTACGGGCGCCCGTTTCAAGCTCTCGGAACGTTGACCCGCCAAAGACGGGGATGACTATATCCTACTTGACCGAAAACACGATGGGCTTCACGCACAGACCTGCTGTGCGGAGGGCATCTGTGTCCCTGCCAAAGGCACGACCTCCTGCTGCTGCTGGGGTGTGCTGGCTGGCCCTGCCGCTGCGGCAGCAGTTTCTTCCCCGATGGCCGCCCATTCCGGCGCCCTGGCGAAATACCTGCGCGCCCTGTTCCGGGTCGTGTCGTATCCCCGCACCACTCCTGGGCTTGAGGCAGGGGTCCAGTCTCGGACCGCCGGCACCCGTCCGCTTCCGCTCGCGCGCGTCGAGATAGGATCCGCCGCAAGCAATCGGGGAGCGGGAACGGCAGCAGCAACCGGGAAGTTGTCCGTCAACCAGGCATGCAGGTCCTGGCGCTGTCCGGCAAGGGGCATGATGCCGGACCGACGCACACCGGCATCGTGGGTCCAGGACGCGGTGATACTAGAAAACGCCTCCTGGAGTGCGCGCAGAAACGAGAGGGTGGAGTAGGCGGCACGATCCCTGAGAATACGTTTTGGTGGAAACGACCACACCCTCGGGGCAACGTCTTGATCACAAATTGGCACATCGAGCAGTGGAACGCCTTGGAGCGATCGCTCTCTCTCTCTCTCTCTCTCTCTCTCTCTCTCTCTCTCTTTCTCTCTCTCTCGAGTCCAAGAGAGATAGAATGGCTATTCAGACGCGTTTGCGTTTTGCGAGGCGTTTTGCAAACCCCCCTCCCCAGTGCACTGTCTGGGTAAGGATGGCACTGCTGTGGGAGCAAATCAGCCATTTGTTTTCAAACGTAGTCGAGAAAGTATACAAATATCCACCCTCGTTCCGAGTGTTGGTTCGTTGCAACAACGCGGGTCTTGCGAAACGGTGTTTTCCTGAACCACAAGGGGTATGCACGATGCATGTACCCAATCTCTTCCTGTCCTAACGCAGCGAGAAAGTCATGTTTCAGCCCGTCCAGTCCATGTAATGCACTTTAACAATGACGGCGTTGAAGTTGACATGCTATTGACTGCTTTCCCACGTCCTCACGAACATTGTCTACCCACGAGTTCCCGATCTGCAAGGAGCACCGTTTTGTTGTGTCCACAGCAAGAGGGTGACCACTCTCTTGCCTATTTAAGAGCAAAAGACTACCAGTATGACAAGTCCCCTGCTAACCTCCAAGACGTTCCGGACAGTGTCGGACTGGAAGAAGGTCAGCCACCGTCCCACCTGAGCATTGCAAGAGGCAGGAGTGTCAGGGGGGAGCGCACGAACGGCCGGAATATCCCGGACAACGAATGAGATCGATACACACACATCGAAGGAAAAGCAAGTACGGCGTTCGCGGAAGTCTGTCAACTGATGTGGGTACTTGTTTTGGACGGTGACTCTCGGAAGCCGTCGTGTTGTACTGACTAGATTAGTCGGCGACAAGGACCATCTACCGACTTCGTGCCCGTCTGTGTCTTCACCACCCGAGAGAGAACCTCCGGTACTCACATCTGTCGAGCCGGAGCTCCTGATGTCCACCTCAAGGTCCCCCAAGACATACCCCTCGCCCGGTCCATCTCCGCGGGGAACCGTTCCACCTGACAGCATCAACAACCGAAGTATATGGTTGAGAGGATGAACGAGAATAGTCGCTCCGCCTAGCCCCAACATGGCGTTCGAATACGTAAGGACATCGATCTGTCCGGATTGGCATGCACTATGTAGCCGAAATGCCATCTCAACGTTCCCCGAACGAACATGGCAGAGGTTCCCGCAAGGATACTGACCACCCGGCATTGCCGAGAACAGGTTGTCGGTATGATCGCGTATTCTGGGAGAGAACCGTCAGACGACAAGGATACGGCGTCCAGCATCTTACCAACCCAAGCCATCACCAGTAACGATAGCGATAGCAGCAATTCTACCTCCACCGTCGCCGCCACCGCGACGACCATCAACAAACGGCAACAACAATAAATCCACCACCATCCAGCAAATACGGCAAGGACGACGACAACAACACCGATGTCGTTCATCTCACCTGTGGAGAGTACAAACCGATAGACCGCCATCAATCTGGCCCAGGTCTCGCCGTCGCTGTCGAGGTTTAGCGATACGAATAGCATCGCACGGCTCGCACGGCCTGCTCTCCTTTCTCCAGCTCCTGCAACGCACGAGAGATTGTGTGCCAATTTCGGTGTGCTGTGGAGAATAGCACTTTCTGCAACATGGAGGGCAGCTACGGATCGGACCTTGTCATTGTCGTCGTCGTCGTTGTTGATGCAAGCGTGCGGGTCGCTAACGGTCACCCCAGGTACTGCAATGGATTCAGCACGAAGGATGAACCGTCCTGCTTCGCACGAGAGTGTTGTTTCACGTTGGCTGTCTAACATCGAACCCTATCGACGTCTGATCCCTTTTCGATCCATCCCTCAGAAAGACTGTCAAGACATTCGAGGTTTACCATGGAGGTGTTGACAAACGCCGATACTTGCCTCTGATCAGTGCACTTCCTGCAATTCGACCTTCGGCGACGCGAGCTGCTGCTCTCGGACGGACGCTGCGAAGGTGTAGTAGCATTAGAAACATGCCAGATACCACCGACAGCGACGCTGGAATATTCCACAATGGGCGCAATGCGGCAACCGCTAGCCACATCCAGCCGAGACCACTGGTGCGCGCCGTCACGTGGATACATTTATCGTCATCCCGCTGAAACGCCAATGGGTTAAAACAAAAGCAGACGGCAGGCAGAACAATACAACGATGAGTGTATTCACGAGGTGTGACAAGAACATGGGGGCACATGCCGACCGCAGCGGGATATGGACAACCACGACGTTATCTTGCGTGAGGCTCCTGCGTGTGTGTTCACTGTCTGCTGAAAGCGGGCTTAGTTGTCGAGGACATTTCGGAATCCAGCAACAATCAGTCAACGAGAACGAGCACGAGAGTCGATCAGTCGAGATAGATGTTCACAGGTGCCGTGCCTGTCGCCATGACAACACAAGAATGCACGACGATTCACACATCTGCCGGTCCTTAACTTTGTGTTTGAGCGAGGGGGCTTCCTCGATGAGGGCTTCCTCGATGTCCTTTGAAGCCCCGAGGGCCAACCTATGCCGTTTACCACATCTCCGTCATCATTTTTTTTTCGCGTGATTTCGGTGGGACTAGGCCATGTCAAGCATATACGGCGTACGTTTGACGCATGCAACAAACGAACGGTCGTCTACCCTCGTCTGTGGACACTTCTCTAGAATAAAACTTGATGGCATGCTGCACTTACAACTAGGTTGAGCACCAGTTCTTCCCAGCTGCAGGAGTAGTCCGCCTCGTGCACGACCCCGTTCGCTTCCGCGCGTGGCAGCTGTTGGCCCCGGTCGCCCCCTTGCGAGACGGACTGCGCATACGACAAACTCGCGCTCTCAGGGTCCCAGGTCAAGGGAGAGATCGAGAACCCCGTACCAGTCGGCTCTGGTGAAATGGGCCACGTCAACAACGCTGCTTCCGCTGCCGCTGCGTCGCTAGCCGCTGCGTCGCCCACGTGGTGCCGAGCGACGGATGCTGTGGCGTCGTCGGGTGGATTGTCATCCTTGTCCTGCCGGAACGTGTTGACCATGACGGGTTGTGGTGCACCCTTGCCTAACGGGGACGAGGGCGGCGGCAACGGGGTGCCGGTCTGGGGGCGTGGGGCCAGGCGGGGAAACGAAAACGGGAGGGAGGAGGGGGGCGCGCGCTTGTGTAATCATGCGAGATGAGTATCTACAACACGGGGTCGAGCACTTTGACCCAAGACAGCTTTCGCTTGAAGATGGTTGACAGGTCTCCATGGTTTCGAGTATAAGATACAGGGGAAGGAGGGGTCTGCAAAGACTGAGAGGTAGCGTTCGGAATCCCAGTTGATGATGTTCGGCCACACCGTACCCACCTCGCCGATATATAGGACCTACAGTAAGTAGATTGTGCGAGCACTTATTCTCATTGATTGGCAACCCACCAGCAAGAGCGGTTTCACGGCAGAGTAGGCTCTGTGACTTGCTGGTCATCAGGTCGAATACCCCACCCACCAGAGGGCCTTAAGCATCGCATACCGACCTAGAGGCTACGTGCATCATCTGTACCACCCCTTGGACCCCAAACGGGTACAAAGGGAATAACGCATTTAGTTTACAGTTCATAGCAAGAAGCTCCTGCGCAACCGCGCTCGGGACACCAAGCAGGTCGAAGACTGGGTCCAGCAGCTGCCCCGAACGGAACCGAACGCGGCCGCGGACGTGTCGGACTGCAGCTGGCAAGAACTGGTGCTGGACCTCGTGATATGTGCAACATGCCATCAAGTTTCCCCCATCCCTGTGTGTCGCATCGTTGTAATAATCATCGCCACGATGGTTAATACAACGACGCGGCACACAAGGATTGAGGAAATTTGACGACAAGTTCAACATATTACCAGGTCCAGCACCAGTTCTTGCTAGCCGCAGTGGTCCTACACGTACGCGACCGCGTTCGGTTCCGTTCGGGGCAGCTGCTGGACCCGGTCTTCGACCTGCTTGGTGTCCCGAACGCGGTCGCGAACGAGGAGGGCGCTTGCTTTTTTCATCATGCGAGATGAGTATATGAGCACCATAATCCAAGACACCTTTCGCTTGACAAGGTTGAAAGTTGAAAGGTCTGCATGGTTTCGAGCAGGAAGGAGGGGTCTGCAAAGACTGAGAGGTAGCGTTTCGGAATCCCAGTTGGTGATCATTATAGCGTACCCACCTCGTCGATATATAGGACCTACAGTAGGTAGATTTTGCGGAGAGGGCGCTTGTTCTCAATAATTGACAGCGCAACAGCAAGAGCGGTTTCAAGGCAGAGTAGGCCCTGTGACGTACTGGTCATCAGGTCGCATACCCCATCCACCAGACGGCCTCAAGCATCGCATACCGACCTAGAGGCTACGTGTATCATATGGACCACCCCCAAACAGGTACAAAGGGAACAACGCATATTGTTCATAGGAATTTGTGAGATCGACAACAACGCAGCTACAACGCTGGGAGACACTCGGTGGCATGTTGCACTTACCACGAAGTCGAGTACCAGCTCCTGCCAGCTGCAGAAGTTCGACACGTCCGCGACCACACCTGGTTCCGGTCTGGAAACCTGCTGGCCCCGGTCTTCGGCCGGCTTCCCGTCCCTCGTATTCACCCTCTCAGGGTCCTCGGGGGAGGTGTCGACCGAGAACCCCGCGCCTGTTGGCTCATCGGTAGCCGCTGTTTCGCCAACCACTGCATTGACAACCGCAGCTACCGCTGTATGCCTCTCGTCGGACATCATACCCGCCTCTCCCGCTGCAAATATGGCCTCGCCATCGCAGACAAACCTGCCATCCCTTGCTCCATCGGTCGAAAATGAAGCCGTAGCTGACGGTTCCAGTGCTGTTCTCAGCGTCACCTCCGGTGCACCCAAGACCGCCTCCTCATCGCCCATGGGAGCTTCCGACTCCGAATTCTGAACCTGCGACTCAACGTCGGGCATCTCCTCTGTCGCATCGCCCCCCTCCTCCGTGACGTCATCCCCTTGGTTGGCCACGTCGTCACCAGGCGCAGATGGGGTGCTATCGTCTTCGTCGTCGTGGTAAAAGTAGTGACCCTTGTCCTCCTGCCGGAACAGGTTGACTATTACAGGATCTACCCCACGGCTGCGAGGGTGCTGGAGACGGGGTGGGAGGGGAGTGGAGAGGGCGTGCTTGAATATTCATGCCGGAGGGTCCGCTCGGCAATTGAACAAGATGGAGTAAAGCACAGTAGTTGGCACCGACTTCCTCTACGTATATGGATTGAGAGGTCCCTATGGTACGTAGCATTGGGTACATGCGGTTGAAAGACGGGCCGTTACGGAGAAGGGAAAGCGACATTCATCATTTTCAGCCCGCCAGGTCAGAAATATCGTGGCCCAGGGGTGGTAGGGTTAGGGTTAGAGCGTAAATAAATCATCACCCAGGGATGACCAAAAGTTGTGCTTCAACAGCAAGTATGGTCCGTGCTGCGTAATACCTGCACTGAATTAATAGTATAAGTACAAACTCCGTCTAGCCCAAGCTCTTACCTTCTCCCGCCGCGATCTCTCCATACGAAGGGCTTGCTCCTTGAGCTCGCGCTTCGACATGTTCAACACCTGCAACAGTTGACCAGCTGTCGCGAAAAAACACCACAGTCCCGTCTGAACGTGGGAGTACGCGCCAGAGGCAAAAGACAAACGATGCCGATCGTTACCGATTATCGTTGGTGCCGGGTACTTGTTGGTATTCACGCGCAAATGAACGAAATGTAGACAACGAGCAATACTTCAACACAAGAAAACATTTTCTGAGCCGTACATCACGTGAGAGCTGTCTGTAGTGCCCAGAATTCTTTGATGCTCCTGTGAGGACTTCGCTCGAGATTGAAAGAACGACCTAACATGTAACCCAGAGCAAGAGGCATCGATCAGTAGGAACGAACAAGCGCAGACTGTACGCACGGCCGACTAAACATTGTGTCCTGCAACGTGACTTTCATTTTACTTGGGGGTGGAAGTGCATTTATCACAATCTACTTCGTCGGGGACATTCATGAAGTCGGGCATACTTGCGTCACGGGTATTTACTTATGAGAACCTTGATCCACGCGGCAAAAGAGTGCTTGTTGTTCAACGCTGTCACGGAGCGAAGCGGGGCGCTCTTCTTTTTGAAAAGAGCCGCGGAGCGGGGAGTTGCGATTTATCCGACGGCAACATCTGCACGGGGGGCGGAGTGATTGTTTTTTCTTGGAAACGTCAAGGAGAGGAGCGCAATAACCTGTCGCGCCGTTACTTTTACGGGGCGTTCACGCTACACACTGTGGCGTGAACCGTACGAGACGACGGTCATGGCGATGGTGCACCGTCAGAGACAAAACAAAAAAACAGAACGATGCATACATCCGTACCAATAAACGTAGCACTTGAGGTTCGTCAAGTACTTTCGGTTGATCGAGCATCGAGTCATGTGCACGGTGTGTTGTGCGGGGATGTGCCAGGGACGCATTCGTTGAAAATGTCGCCGCCTGAACAACCCAATCAAACACACAACGCTAGTACCACATCAAGGCTTGTGCTCACAGATAGGGTCATTTTTTTCCACATCGACGTTCTCCTCCAACCATCCACACACTTCTGCAACCGCACAAAGGCAGTGGAATGCCTCGCTCGCCTCCGCTGTTCGTTTCCCTATTTAGCACCAATGACTTTGTAACCCCGTGCATATCATGTAGGTGTCTCTGGTACACTCAACAAGGCCTACGTCCACTTGCCCCAACACACGAGCAGCTTGGGCACATGCACAGCTGTAGCTGTTCAATAGACTGGGTTGAAAGGGTATTTTCCCAATATGTGGTCCAACAACCAGCAAGTCCGGATATATAGCAGAGCTCGACCTGAGGAAAGGCGTCATTTCTCTGCCCAATGTGGTGGTACACATGATACCGAATAACGGATTGATATTTCTCTGATGGTAGCTGTGCTGTCAACGCTAGGGGAGTAAGTTATGCGCCATCACCGCAGAAAGTTGACCGTGAATCCGTGATAAAACACACTTCACGGAAAAAAAAAATCACGGGTTTGGCGGCTGATTCTGTGACGGAGTAGAACAATCAGCATCGTAGTCCTCCAAACGGTAACGGTACACCAACACCCTTTCTGGAACACTACCAAAACGAGGACAGAAAGGCCGGTACAACCTGACGCATTACCACAGCAGCATGTCTATGCCGATACTAACCAGCGGGCAATTCGTTGCGACGGCACGGCTATCCACTATAGATGGTGCCATGCTAACTCACCTGGTGACATGCCGAATTGTCGGCGAGCTGTCGAGCGAACGTCTCCCCGACGGACTCGACGTACGCCATACCTCAATCTGTGTTAGACAAACCAGCAGAAATGGGTCGCTTGATTGGTTCCCCGTCGTATCGTTGTACGACTGTATTGTGACATTAGATATAACACCCACAAGTAATGCCAAGGTAGGCGCAGTGCAAGACTGCAAGGGTTTGAGATCGTAAAGTTTCGGAGTTCTCGCAAATTCTGAATGAGTCGCAAAATCGAGCGATAGAAAAGCAAGAATGAATGTTTTGGTTCACATTTCCGCACGGGTAAAAGAGTAGTCACACAGGCGCAGGACAACCCTGGCAAGGACCACTTCGGGCTGAAGGTCGGTTATTTGCTACCGCGATTTCGGGACTTTGCATTGTCCGTTGTTGTCATAAAGTTACCGACGGTGATGCGATTTCGTGGCAACAACGAAAGGAAGTGAGAAGGAATTTACCTCCGTGCCACGCGTCGCCAACGTGGGGCAGCAGTTACGGCTAGCAAATAGTGTTCGCCAAGAAATACTCAACGAATGGAGGTAACGTGAGCTCTACGCACCCATTTTACAATGCCACATCGTTTGATAGTTTTCGAAACGATCAACGTATCAACATTTGTCACCGGCGTTCGGCACGTTGTATCGCATACGGCAACCCCCGGCGGCTAGGTCATGAGGCATCGTATCTCCATGGAACGTTCGTGCGCTTGCTTGTGAGAAGGCATTTCTTGAAGCCTTCACGCGCTATCGATCAGAACGCTCCCGGTAGAGGCTATCGTGAGAGAGAGACAAAACCACATCTGAAGCACTGTTTCAACACCCGGTCGCAGTATCCTGCACCTATCTCCCCGTCTTGCCTCTCTAGCCGAAGAACTCCGGTCCTGGTCACACGGTGGACGATTCCTCTACAGCGGTTCTGACAAGAGTACGCACGATCAAGCACTTTCTTTCGCTCGCACTCCTAACACCCCCCGACACTTGTGGCTGTGTTGCTGCTGTTGTAGCTATTGTGTTGCTGTTCTTGTTTTCTTCATATTTAGAAACCGTCCTGATCTCTGCTCAGTACCTTCTATCGCTCGTACTGGTCCAACTGACGTGGATGTTTTCCGTAGTCACAGACCAACGAGAGAAGGTACCTTGTTTGTGTGTGTACTCGGTAGGATACGAATCTCCGAGATCTCCGGGGGTTACGTAGATACCTATGATGGGTGGGTGTGATGGACTTGGCGCGCTAGGTTCTGCTTGCCTCCCCATGTCTCTCACTCGTTGATGCAAAGAACTTGAGTCAACCCTTTATGCAGAAACGCCGTCGACAAGAGTCCGCGAGCGTGATAGCGCAGTACAAGCGCCGACACCCTACCACGATATCGTGGGCGCAGCTGACGTCCGTAGGGAAAGGTTCGGGAGGTGTTGTCATGTGTGCGGGTTCCTTGGTATTCCAAGCGGTGTACGGAAGGTGGTGTTAGCTTCATATGAGCATAGGTTGGGCGATTTATAGGGGCTGATAGAGCAGGCAGCGGCGGAGAGCCTCAAGCTGCAGGAGGCCCGAAAAGCGGTGGCGGAGGCGGCCGGGGAGCGGACACTCGCGGCGGGAGCGGCGGCCTCGTGGCAGCACCGGCGGCAGCACCGGCGATCCTCGGCAGCATAATCTTCGCGGCGCCGGCGGTAGGGGGGACGGCCAGGGCGCAGGAAGCACCGGCGGCAGCACCGGCGGCGAGAGCAGCGACCCCCGGCAGCAGATTCTTCCCCGCGGTGGCAGTCGGGGGGACGGGCGGGGCGCAGGCACTCGCGCGGGAGCGGCGGAAGCACCGCCGGCAGCACCGGTTAAGAAAGCGGCGACCCACGGCAGCAGAGTCTTCCCCACGGCGGTGGTGGGGGAGGCGACCTGGGAGCGGGCACTCGCGGAGGGAGCGGCGGCATCGGCAGCAGTACTGGCTGCGAGAGCAACGGCCCCCCGCAGCAGAGTCTTCCCGCGGCGACGGTGAGGGAGGCGACCGGGGAGCGGGCACTCGTGGCGGGAGCGGCGGCATCGGCTGCAGCACCGGCAGCGAGAAACGCGACCCCCGGCAGAAGAGGTTTCCCCGCGGTGGCAGCCGGGGGCATGGCCGGGGCGCAGGCACGCGTGCGGGAGCGGCGGCAGCACCGGCGGCAGTCACCACTGCAGTACCGGCGGCGAAAGCGGCGACCCACGGCAGCAGAGTCTTCCCCACGGCGGCGACAGCATCGGCGGCGAGAGCAGAGACCCCCGGCAGAAGAGTCTTCCCACTGGGGCAGTCGGGGGGCGACGGGGGCGCAAGCACTCGCGGGGGGAGCTGCGGCAGCACCGGCGGCAGCACTGACGGCGAGAGTAATGACCCCCAGCAGCAGAGTCTTCCCCGCGGCGGTGGTAGGGGATAGCGGCCGGCGCACAGGGGCTGGCAGCGTGAGCGGCGGCCTCGGCGGCAGCACCGGCAGCGAGAAAGGCGACCCCCGGCAGAAGAGGTTTCCCAGCGGTGGCAGCCGGGGGCATGGCCGGGGCGCAGGCACGCGCGCGGGAGCGGCCGTAGCACCAGCGGCAGTACTGGCGGCAGTACCGGCGGCGAGAATGACGAACCCCAGCAGCAGAGTCTTCCGCGCAGCGGCGTCGGGGAGGCGAACTGGGAGCGGGCACTCGCGGCGGGAGCGGCGGCATCGACGGCAGCACCGGCGGCGAGAGCAGCGACCCACGGAAGCAGAGTCTTCCCCGCGGTGACGGTGGGGGAGGCGGCCGGGGAGCAGGAACTCGCGGCGGGAGCGGCGACATCGGCGGCAGCACCGGCGGCGAAAGCAGCGACCCACGGCAGCAGAGTCTTCCCCGTGGTTGCGGTGGGGGGGGCAGCCGGGGAGCGGGCACCCGCGGCGGGAGCGACGGCAGCACGGGCGGCAGCACCGGCGGCGAGAGCAACGACCCCCAGCAGCAGAGTCTTCCCCGCAGCGGCGGTGGGGAGGGCGAACTGCGAGCGGGCACTCGTAGCAGGAGCGGCGGCAGCACCGGCGGCAGCACCGGCGGCAAGAGAGGCAACCCCCGGCAGCAGAGTCTTCCCCGCCGCGGCAGCATGGGAGATGGCCGGGGTGCAGGCACTCGCGCGGGAGCGGCGGCAGCACCGGCGGCAGGACCGGCGGCGAAAGCGGCGACCCCCAGCAGCATGTCTTCCCTGCGGTGACGGTGGGGGAGGCGACCGGGGAGCGGGCACTCGGAGCGGGAGCGGCGGCATCGGCTGCAGCACCGGCGGCGAGAGAGCTGACCCCTGGCAGCAGAGTCTTCCCCGCGGCGGTGGTGGGGGACAGCGTCCGGGGCACAGGGACTGGCGGCCGGAGCGGCGACATCGGCTGCAGCACCGGCGGCGAGAGCGACGACCCCTGGCAGCAGAGTCTTCCCAGCGGCGGCAGTGGGGAGGGCGAACTGCGAGCGGGCACTCGTAGCAGGAGCGGCGGCAGCACCGGCGGCGAGAGAGGCAACCCCCGGCAGCAGAGTCCTCCCCGCGGTGACGGTGGGGGAGGCGACCGGGGAGGAGGTAATCGCGGCGGGAGCGACGACATCGGCGGCAGCAACGACGGCGAGATCGGGGGCTTCTGCGATTAAGACGAAGTGTTGGATGGATTGGATTTGGGGGGGGAGCAAAAATGCAGCAGGGGGGCCGTTAAGGTGTTAACTTTTGGGAGAAAATGCAAGAGGGCGGCTGTTAAGAAACCCACGTTGTCTCGATGTTTGACAAACGGCATAGTTGGTGAAAGTTCACTCTGGCGTTTTTTAGTTCGCCGGTTTTTTTACCTTTCTCTGCTCAGTACCTTCTATCGCTCGTGCTGATCCAACTGACGTGGATGTCGTCCGCAGTCACAGACCAACGAGAGAAGATCCCTTGTTTGTGTGTGTACTCGGTAGGATACGAATCTCCAAGATCTCTGGGGGTTACGCAGATATATATGATGGGTGGGTGTGATGGAATTGACGCGTTAGGCTGTGCTTGCCTGCTCATGTCTCTCACTCGTTTGTAAAAGGAACGTGAGTCATCCTTTGTGCAAAAATACTCTCGAAAAGAAGAGCCCTCGAGCGCGATAACGCCTTACACGCGCCGACACTCTCAGCATACCTGACCCATTCTATGAAAATTGAATAGAAACCGAAGGACCCAGAGCAATTAAAATATAGCAGTACGTTATCAAAACAAACAGCCGCCGAACAGTCAGACATCGCAACGGGCTTGGCATGCACACAAAAGAGATGGACAAAGGAGATCGACAAGTAGAGCCCACAGTTTCCCACTGGACACGGGAGGCCACGCAAAAAAAATAACACGGCAGTAAACTCGCATGATTCTATCATCTATGCCTACTATGTACCGTAGTCTACGGCGTCGTACCCCTCCCCAGAAAGTCGTACCCCACCCCCCACCCCCGGAAGTTCGGCAACTAACTGTCGTTGTACCCCCGAGCGTGATTGTTTTTCCGATAAAACATTAGTCCTCCGCCCCCTTTTTGTGTACAAGGGGGGAAACGTTTCAGCCATTTTGTTTTAGAACCCCCACAACTTTCTTCGGACGATTTTTCACTACTAGTGAGTATGTTACCGATCACAACGCGCCAGAGCTGACGCACTTAGAGTTCTTTGATATCTTACGTGTTTGGGACGGGTCATCCGTGGAACACTTGCTCGTATTTTTTGTCCATTGGCGGGAACACTAAGTGTGTGAACGTATGTTGTCAATTTCGCTGCTCCGCCCAACGGTAATCACCGGGGTATTCACGGGAACCCCCCTCCATCTTAAAAAATATTTATTTACCCCCCGGGGGAGCACATTCCAGAGGCAAGTTTATCCCCTCTCCGGGGGTAGAAGCGGGGTGTTTTCATGTTTTCATGGTCGGTGGGTTTGCACCGGCCATGCCATGCAATAACGTGCGGGGGGATCATGACCAAGGCAAAAAATACCAGTATGTGCTCATTCCAAACCCCATAATCCCATTTTTATCCCTCCTCCACATCCCTACTCTGGCGGAAAATTCCATGCCAGGTTCTCTCAGGCCAGCCTCTGCGGATAGTGTGGACCGTTTTCATCGCACAATCAACAGTGTTTTGTTGTACAGCACTGCTGCTGCAGTATAACGATCAAGAAACTCTTCTCTGCACTCAATTCAACAAAAAATACAGAAACACATTGGCGGGGTGATCGTTATCTGTAGAATGAGCGCTCGCGGGAGATACATATAGCTTGTTTGTAGGCTACTGGCTTCCATTAAACAAACAGGAGATGCTGCGAGGATAATGTTGTTGTTGAGCTACAGCAGTAGTAGTCGTGTTGGTTGAGGTCGAAATGTAACAACCGTCAGAGGAAGATCAAAAAATGTTTTTCCGCGGCTGGCTGCCCTTCTTGCTGGATCCTCGACAGCTCGCGTAGCATACGCCGGACGCGACTCTTGATCGGAAAGCAACAGCATGCATGCCTCGGAGAAAGACAGACCAGGAGAGAGGGGGAATCTTAATCTTGATCGCTCGCGGGTGCAGTTTCCACACCCTGCCACGGCAGGTGCAAGCCTCAAAAGTATCTGCGGCTGCTCGAGAGCCCCTGAAACTTTTGTATGTAGTTAAATGTGGATGCCACACGCTTCTCCCTCTCTCCAAACACCGACCTTCTCGGGGGGCAAGCACTCTCTGGCCCCTCGCTTCCTTCAGGCTGCCACAAGAGCACACTTTCCTACGACCGGGACAGCATGTGCTCTCCGCATGAGTCGTTTACTACATGCTCAAGGCAGTCCAACACGTGCCTCCCAACCATCATGACGAGGCATATGGATAGGGCATCCATGCACACAATATTTCGCCGTTCAACCCTCCTCTCTCACCTGGTTTCCAAGCGTCCTACAGCGTATCTTGTTCCTAGTTGCTATCTCTCCGCGCCCCGTGCGCAGAAACACCTCCGACTTGACGCTTCTCTCGAAGTGCACGCGTCGCGGCCCCAAGGTCTTGCTTGCCACAAAACCGGGTGGTGTGTAAGTGTGGCGAATTGCCCTCGGCGCAATCAACGAGTGCGTAGTAGAATAAAAAAAAAAATGTAGCATATGGCATCAAACACCAAGATACTCTATCGACGAAACATCGGCTACAAATAACGCTTGGACTCCGCAACCGGTACAAGATCCCAGCAGCAGCCACTTTTCTGTTCATTAGAAGGTGCAGCCAACACACCTACTAATCCTTCCAGCCTGCCCCTAGATACATTGCGGTGGGTAGAGACCTTTGCCTCGTTCATGGCGAAGGGACGGCTGGTTGTGTATACGGCGTCGTGCGTTTTCACAGCAGTTGTCCACTATTCTCCACATCTATTTTGGATGCCATGCGTTGAAAAACAACAAAATACACCATGACACCTGTACACACTTCTTGCTCTAGTCTAATCACCGCCATCTGTGTCTTTGCTTTTTTCGTCTTTCAAGTGGATAGATAGATAAAACAAGCAACACCTTTGTCCCTGTAGCGTACGGTAATTCAACGGGTCGACTTGTGCCTGCCGCTTTCTCATCTATCTGGACTCTTGGCATTGGAAGCTCAATTCCCTTTCATCAGCACCGTATATAATCATACTCGTATCCTTCTTCCCCGCACTTTGTGTACAATATCCGATATCGACCTGCTCTGCACACAACCAACAACGGAGGAGAGCTATTGTACAACAGCAGCAGCTAATAGCAGCCATCACGATCATGAAGTGACTGTCATTGCCGTTGCTGCTTGGTGTGATTTCGATTGTTTTCAAGCTGAAGACGCGTACCACACACAAAGGGTCGTGCGTGCTTTAAGCAATTCAGCGGGGTATTATCATGCACAAGGAGCTCTTTTGGTTTGTGTGCAACCCTCCAAGCAGTGGCGCGCTGAGGAGCTGCACAAGCCAGCAGCCGTATACCCACTACGCGTGTAGCGGTGTACCACGTTATTACGCCGCACCATTTTGGTGAGCACCTTCACTTCTGCCTCGGGCCGTAACGAAGGTAGCTTATCGTGTAAGAGGGAGCGCGCGAGCGCACTGTAGTAGCTTGGTGACCACCACGACCGCCGTGATTATTCCTGACAGCAACCGACCCCATGTTGAGCGTCGGGACTTTGGACCACCAAACAATGGTTGCCAAAGATCCTCGAACAGACCGGCGATGATGAAAATTGAGAGCTGTGTAAGGAGATGCGGAGAGATGGCACGACAGCAGTACGTAGTACGAGCCTCTCCCTGGAGAGTTGAAGAACGGGAGGGTCTACCATGACTTAAGACGATACTACTGCTTGTCGAAGGCACAAATGTACACCGCGGCAGTGCCGCCTCTCTCCGTCCTTTTCGAACGCTGCTGCTTGCTGCTGTTTTTTCGTGTTTTCGGCGTGTCGTGCATCATGCACAGCACAAGTACGCCATTTCTTGTATGAAGAGGCCAGAGAACAAAAGACACTCGTTGAACTTTGCGACGTCCCGTCCAACGCGTCCACTCGTAGAGAATGCTCAATACACCCAAAGATAGGGTCCAGACGTCGATGAGAGTCTGGGCGGAACCTGTCCAGTTCCACAGCGTGTGCCCTACGATTCCTCACTGCGCAGTAGTAGGGTCGGTCACCCGGCTCAGCATCATCTACAGCAGTTTCTCAGCACGTCAATTTTGGTGGCCTCTTCGAGATTGTCATTCTCTCACCTCCGATCATGGGACATCGCTGTCATGGGGCCGCGGCGGCAAGGGTTCCGCGTGCTGTGGTTTGGGGAGTCTTCGTCCATGCACCTCACGCACTCTTTCAGTCCTCCTGTTTTTTTTTTTCGACTTGAGACGATGAATCACAAAAATTTCAAATTTTTCGCAAAGTGGCGATCGCTGTCGTCTCGGGGTCGGGTTAGGTCGAGCGAGCAACATAGCTTGTGTGGCATGCTAGATTACGAGATCCAAAGTCATGCTGGCTGTCGTTTGTTGAATAGAATTCCGTACGATGTGTTAGCGCTCCGAGTGTGTGCGGCAGTGCACTTCGGTGGTGTGGCCGTGGCAGATTCGCGGGGCGGCGCCTGAAAAAACACAGGACCGTACAGATTGGCCAATCAACGCTTCTCGTGCGACTCACAGAAACACGGGAGGCTCGTTGCGATGGATCTTATGTCTCAGCTCATGTGCAAGGTGCAAAGGCCCCCAACTCCACCGCAAGCGATGCGCAACTGACCGCTCATCCGGGAACTACTCTAGTGCGTGCAAAAGGAACAAAGTACACTCATTCCATGCATGCGTCACGCTTTACAATAGGTTGGCGATGAGACTACAAATAAATACTTGTACATAGGTGACACAAGATATCACACCCCCTGGACCAATTTACCAAGCTCGATAATTGTACTCCACAGCAGCAAGAGTGGGGGTACCAAAAATGGCAGCGTTGGAACCATCTCGTCGAGATCTTTGCGAAAACACACCAATTCATTTTGGCATCCTCTTCTTCGTGGAGTATGACTGTAGTCGAGCTTTGAAAATAGGTCCAGGGGATGTGGTATCTTGCGTCACTTCCCGCAATAATACTGTAAATTTAGTCCAGTCTCCGCATCCGCCCGACAGCACAAGCCGACAACCGTTGGAAATTGGCGCGTTCCCTACTCCGGTTCGGTACGTGCCCAGTAACGTCCTTGATACGACTGATTTCAATGCGCCCTGGCGCACTCTACATTGACATGGACATGCATGCCGTGCCAGCCGTTGTGGAGTACCTACAGCAGTCGACGCGATGGATGTACTTCTGCAAGTCTCGGGTTTCCCAGTTTCCTTTCTTCCGCTATGTGAACTCCTGTAGACTATGTGCGAGGGAGCAAACTCACTAGATTTGCTTACCCATGCACGTTTTAGCTGTAACGTGCTGCCACCCCCCCTTCCCTCCGTCCCAACTCTGTACCTAAACCAAACTTAGGGTTACAGGTCTAGCAGGGACGGTATCAATAGGCAGATTCTCGAATCAACAATCCTCGTAGCAGAATCAAGCCCGCACCGCTCGCTGCAAAGACCAAATAAACAGAGGGCGAAAGCAATCAACGTTTCGATGGTATGTACAATTCAGAAATATCGAAAGGACACCCGACACGGCCAAACACTGGTAAAGGAAAAAGAATTAAATAAACACGACGTTTAACACTCTTTTGGCGGCCAAACAAAAAACAAACAGAAATCCCCAAAAAACAGTATTTGTCGAGACGGACCGACGGCTGTTTCTTTTACAACCTCAAAGATGCTTTTATTAACGCCCTCAAACTTGGAAAACAATTTCATCGCACTACAGCCCCTCATGCGGCGAGGCTTTCATGACGTTCACCACTGAACCCCCCTTCAGCCAACCCAGCGGGACATATAAACGGGAATATCTGGTATCAGACACAATAAAACAAGGTACGGAGTCGCCTGAGAGAGAAAGAGAGAAAGTCAGACTGCAAAGACCCGAAGGCATCATACTTTCAAAGACTCTGTCCCACTGTTCCACAGTCCAGCACAAAATAATCCTCCAAACCACTCTACCCACCCAAAGCCTATGGTGTACATCGCACGCATGAGTGTTCCGAGACTGGTGGTGTCCTCGACGTCGTCACACTTAAAGGGCAAACAGAACACAAAACAAATTAAACACGACATGCAATAACAAGCACATCACCAACCACTTGACCTACTTATTGTTCCCCAGTTCTAGTACTTACTGTATCTCTTAGCCAAAAAAGCCAACCATTGGTCCGAGGCCTACCAGCTAAACTGCGCAATCATCCGTGTGTCGAAATCTCTCTTATCATCCTGATCAGGGGGCACGCAGTTTAAAGGACGGGTTGTTCGACCCACCCAGCAGTGGCATCATCCCACCCAATCAGATACCGCCTCGAAGTAGCCCAACCTACTCACTCATGCCACCTCTCCCGTGGCCAGCCACCGCTCCCTGGCCCCCTCCCTCAACGAGTAAACCCGCTTGCACTCCTGCACGGTGTCCTCCACTAGCTCCTCCAAGATGCCCTCGGCCACCCTGCACTTTACGTAGTACAGGTCGTCTTCGTGGAAGAGCCAGTCCTCCGGCCGGCTGTCCAACGGCAGCGTCTCGATCAGGTCTGGGTTTGGCTCCCGCCCGGGCAAGCAGGCCCCGTCTTGCCCCAGCACAGCCGAGGTTACCTCAAGGACCGCGTCATCCATCGACCTAATACATGGCACGGGCAGAAGGGGGCGTACTCATGTTTCGCATGCCGAGCTGTTGGACCATTGACCACGCGTCCTCGAGAGGACGGAGCATTTCGGGGTACTGAAGGCCCCGCCACTTGCGAACGCTTACATACAACTGTGTCCATAGGGTAGAACTGCATCCGTTCTGTAAAGAAACTTAGGATTATTCGATTGAGCACTTATTCTTGTGACCACCTTCTTGGCTTGCCCGCCCATTCTTGGTCCAACATTCCTCCAACTCCCGGGTTCGTCAGTGATGATGCATTTTGCATTCGATTCGGCGCTTGCGTGTTGCGGCCGTTAATCGCTGGGACCACACATCCCTCGAGACGATGCGCCGATCTTTGTCTACGACTCAACCGGACGCCTCGAACATGTCGGGCGTCAAAGGAAGGTGGTTCATGTACAACTGAAGGTTTTACGTACGACCAAAATGTTGTCATGCTTGTCATGCTTGTCTCTTAGGTCTCATACGATGGGAGAGGGGAGGGCGTTGGGAATATTCTTGCAATATCGCAAGAGGAGAACACGAAAGTTCGAGATGACGTAGCGGGTAAAAGGTGCGAGCGACGGTGCACAAAATAAACACTAAACACGACAGGGGCAAAAATCAAGGTACTCTTGGCGCACTGTACGTATTTCAGCACCAAAGCAACATCGGCATTTGAGCGGTGCTCAAGACGAGGACGTCAATAGGACCATGGGACACCACCGTCAACAGCAGCAACATCGGCAATCATCGAGTTCGACTGACGGAGAAAGGTATACCAATGTCAAGCACAACCGGAACAAGGTCAACCAGCTTGTACATTGTAAGGCCAAAACAAAGAGCCTAGCTAGAAACTAAAACGAAAAATCAACTAACCGGAAGTGCTGGAAGCCTTCAAAGAGGTGCAGTAACTTTCCGCTGGGGGCGGGGGGGTCCTGCGGCCTCCTCGGTGCCCTCTTCGACCGCCGTTCCGCCAGGTACTCGTTTGCTGCATCATAGGCCATCCACCGGGCCGAGTCGAGAGCATCCCTGTCCGGCTTGGGGATACCTTCCATCTGCCCAGCAAGTACGAAGCATTTGGCCACGGGTAAAAAAATAAGCAACTGTGTCGTGTAACAGCCAAAAGGACAAACAAATGCCCCTTCAGACGCATGATCGTGAGTATGAACCAAGCCTGGACCAAGCCTACAGCTACAGGGGCAGGGGGGGGGGGGGGGGGGGTACTCCATCGATGGTTGGTCATTCTGCCAAGGCGGGGGGCAGCCACTTGGAGAACATTTCTGGGGCGGGCTTACCGCCTTGCGACAACTGTTTGGTTCGGACAGCTGTCGCCTCTCGCATACCGGAATCAACACCGAAGCGATGCCCACGGAAGGGACATGAAACAGCGGTCTAGCATACACTAAGCACGTTGAAACGGAGGTAGACCGCTCCGTCGGGCACAACGGCGGAAAATACCACCAGCTCGATCGCCCAAAGCAAGCAGTCAGCAAGGTATCAACCGTGAGGCAAACGTTTCATCTTCCGTCCCAGAAGGTCGCGGCCCGGTGTAAGTCCGCGCTTGTTCGGGCTAATTTCTTGCAGAGTACTGTAAAGCCATGAATTACAGATGCATGCATACTTTGGTCGGATGCTGCCGAGTGGTCGTGGTTTGTGGTGCAAGGTAGATGTGGTGTGTGGTGTGCCGTTGCGAGGCCCGGGCTCCAGAGGGACGGGGTGTCGTGTCTCGCACGCCATAGGCAATCAGCGCGAAGAGTCAGTCCCGTACTCCTTTGGAGGGATGGCCACTACTACGAAGTATTTAATAGATAGGCCATCAGCGCGAAGATTCCGCCCTATAATCCTTGGAACGTTGGCCACTACTAATGGTTCCCCACCATCGACAGCGAACGCACTTGAAAGTCGATTGCGCCAAGTCGCGTACTCTTGCGCTTGGCCTTGAATCTTCAAAAACTTAAATCACCAAGTCGCACGCTCTTGTGCGTGTTCATCGCTCACACATCTGGAACCCAAAATCAATCTGTCCGAAAAGGCACCACCAATCCCGCCGTACCTCGTTAAGGCTGGCCAAGACCGCTTCGTCCGATGCATCGATCAGCTCATCGATGACTCTGGCCGGGATTACAGCCTCGTCCTCAAGGGGGGGCTCCGCAGGGGGCGGGAACTCCATACCGTCCTTACCCTCCAGCTCCTCGATGAACGGCTCGTCCGGGAGATAGTGCATCTGGCAGAGAGACACAGCGCACACAAGCGGCGCCGAGACAGAGGACGTTGAAATAAACAAAAACCAGCCACGCGTGTAACATTACCTAGCGCCGGCGACCTGGCGTCGCACAGACGGAGAAACAACCAAGCCGTTGTTCTCTGTGAGTTGTGCCGGTGCCCGTAATAGCAGGGCCAAAAAACTGTTGTCGGGCATATCCCGGTGCTATCGAGAGACCCCGCTGGTCATATCACGTTGATCGTTTTTCATCGGCAGAAAGGTGAATATGAAAATTTCAAAACGCGGTCTCACTAAAAGGTACTACCCGCATCAAATCGATGATTGTTGAGTTCTCTACTCTTGCGATCAGGAGTCGAGAAGCCAGAACAAACACACACCAAGCTAGAACAACCGGACCGACCCAGCACAAGCACAGCACAGCAGCAAAATGCTTGCTTCCGCAACACCGCCACCACATCCGAGCAGCATCATCATCATCATCATCATCATCATCATCATCTCGTGTACACGTTTCCTTCAATCAACATACGGGCGGGGGGGGGCACGCTACACCAAACCTCACCGACATCCGGCTGTTGAGCTCTTCAAGGGTCATCGACCTCAACGCAGTCTCGATGGCATCAGCCAGGACGGGCCACCACGGGTACTCCGGCCACCCCAACTCCTGCTCCATCATGAACGGGTCCCCTTCTACCTCGCCCCCCCCCTCCCTATCCCCCACCCGTATCCCCCCGCCCTCGTCCTCGTGCGTCGCCCCCGCGGCCGCTCCTCCCTCCCATCCTCCTCCACCCGCCCGAGCCTCGCCTAGATCGCCTTGCCCCGAGGCAGCCGTCATCGCACCCGGGGAAGCTAGCCCCATGTCCGCTCCCTCGAACCGCACGTCTCCTCCTCCACCTGTCCGCACTCCAAGGCTAACGTCACCGCCCCCTCCCCCGCCGGTCCGTACGCCGAAGCTGACCCCCTCTGCGGAAGCGTTGTCCTGGAAGACACAAAAAAAAGAAATCGTAGTTCCGTGCCATTTTTGCAAAAATACAAGTCATGTCGAGCCAGGAAATGAAAACGAACGCCAGAAGGGAGGAATGGAACTAGCTTGTAGGTCCAACAGCCGGGAGGACACAAATTGAGAAAGTTCTCCTGAAAACCCCGCTTGGGGCAGAGAGGTGCCCATGCTTGCGGTCTTAGCACCGGTGGGACAAACGCGGGAATAAAAAGAGTCCTCGAAACAAGCAGCAGAGTCTTGTCTTTTCGAGAAGCGAAGCGACAGTGTCGCCTTCTCTGTGAGGTGGACGACGATCTGCACGGCTAAGAGGGCCGTGAGCGATAGATGCCACGTGAATTGTGAAAACATGCCAGCCCTACATAAAAACGCATCACTTTTCGACGCGCAGCTCTGTTGACACTGACTTCAACAGAAAAGACAGCTGGACGTACGCCGAAAAAACGGCAACCGCGAAACAGAGCACCCTAACTCTTGTGTCAAAAAAAAAATTATCGAACGCGGAACGATGCCGCGTCGGAGTTACCGAGCGTGGTCGAAAGGAAAAAAATAACTAAAAGGGGGTTATCGAACCCACCCCTGGTTTTGCAAAAAAAATGCCGTGCATTGTCCTGGCGTTGCAAAGAATTTTCACGCGAGGCCTGAAAGGGCTACGCCCACGCGTTATTTCATGACCAGTGCGCTCCCACCCCTAGGCAAGTGTCGTCCTTACCGGGTAGGGTGTTTGAGGGTCGTGGTGCTGTCCTCCGCTACTGCTACCGTTGTCATTGTCGGCTAGAGCCGCTAGAGCCATCCACGGCTTCTTCGGTCGGGCGAGCGTTAAAGGCGGGAAGTAGTACTCGTCATCGTCATCATCCTATCGAAATGGAAGATCGGCAAGGGGAAGCCGATGCCAGGGGGGAGGGGAGGGGAGGGGAGGGGAGGGAGGATGGTTGCCGGCGGTGACTACTGTCCTGTTTGCCAAGTTCATCTTCGCCTCATGGAAGCATTCCAACTGCTGTATGCGTGCCTAGTATCTCTACTTTCGCCACGAATTCGAAGGCAAGGACGTTACTTCCGCCATCAATACCATGCATGGTAAAAAACGACATCCGTACTGCTGCATGCATATACCGTGTCGATAAAATAAATGGCCGTGCAAAGCTCGTCCTTCGCATAATTCTCCCATTGGTCATATTGAGTGCTAAGCAAATGATGCCGAACGATTCTTGACTACCAATTCTAACACCACACGACTTCCTATTCATAGTTCATGACCGGCATAAAAGAGAAAACGGATCGAAACCCTGTTGCACCAGGCACAGGCGGCAGCAAGAATTATCGATGGTTCCAAAAAATTCTTGGCCCACACCAAAGGTCGAGGGAAGCAACGAACAAGCCACGTTGAACAAAAGTCAACGTCCGAGAAAAAAAAAGCTCCTACTACTGATACGACCGAGGGCCTACGCCAACACAACCACAGACCCCCCCCCATCTCGTCCTGCAGTGCTAGAAGTTCCAGTTGTTCTCCAACAGCGTTGCATAGTTGGAAAACGCAACGCAAAACCAATATCTGGAATGTTCACCGTGACATTGTCATTTTTGTTGTGGTTGTTGTCTTCACATCAAAAACCGTTCCGATCTCTGTATCCAGTACCTTCATCTGTCCGTACTAATCTAACAATTGACACGGTCGGTTCCCGTGGTCACAGGCTAATTTTACCCTAACAGCTGTACAAAAATAAAATGGACCCGAAGGGTCCGCATCCCAATAGAAATCGACATGATCGGCCGATGACAAAAAAAAAGAAGAAGAAAAGAGCAACGGAGATGCTTGGCCACGTACGCTAACGTCCAAAAATGTTTTTGGTACATAACCCGTGAGAGTTGCCTGAGTGCTCGGACGTTCAAAAACTCACCTGTTCCTCGTCGCCCAACCTGGCACTGACAGCACCAGAGCCGCCGTCATTCCCAGCATCGCCGCTTCGTGACGGCTGTCCCGATTCACCCGGCTCTCCATCTTCCTCCGCATCGCGCCGCTGCTCAGGCTGTTGGTACTTGCGTTCTTGTTCGGGGGAGTCGCCGAGGGCGGCGGCGTCGTTGCCCCCGCCGCCGCCGCCGCTGCCGCCGCTGTCGTCGCTCCCGTTATCCCGCACAACCATCAGCATACCCTCCTCGCTGCGGTAGGTCTCGGTCACCGCGGCGGTGCCCCAATCCTCCCTCGTGCCCGCATCATCTCTTTCCTCCTCTTCACCGTCGTCGTCGTCATCGTCCGTGTCCTCGTACGTGCCTAGCTCTTCCCACATTGCGGGCCCCCGCCGACTGCCGATACCCTCGTCCCCGCTAGCCCCGCCGCCAACCAGGGCGTCGCCGGTCGCGTGACCCGCCGGTGGCCCGTCGCGCTGCTCTTCTTCTTCTCTCTCTGGCGCGGTCGCCCTGCCCCCTGGGGGGGGAGGGGCGGGGGTACCGAGCGCTCGCTTCAGGAGGCTCGCCAGCAGCTTGTCCGTGATGTCGTCGACTAGCCGCTCCTTGTCCTCGCTTGTTCGCGAACGCCCCCAGAGAGAGGCCGGCGGCGCATCCTCGCCACTCGAATCGGTGGAAGCCACGCCGGTGGCTTTGGCTTCCTCTACCGCCGTCTCCGTACCGTACGCGGCTTCCTCGCGCGCGACAACAACAACAGCACCATCGTCAGCGGCAAGGGGGGGAACAGAGGTGGGCTTGGTGCCGGAGGCCAGGAGGCCGGAGGCCGGGAGGCCGGAAACGCTGTCATCGCCGTCTCCGTCCCCTGTTGAACCCACCGCAATGCTTCCGCAAGCGACAGTGCCGTTCTCCGCCTCAGGTACACGCCCCTCTTCCTGAGCTTCGGCGGGCGGCAAAGACGACCCTGGAGCCACGGTGTGCTCCGCATCGACACCAACGGCAGCAACAGCGGTAGTGGCGGTGGCAACGTCGCCGATAGCGGGGATCTTGGGACCGTCGCTTGCAACTTCGTCCGGCTGTTTCTCAGCCGACAAAGATTGCTGCTGCTGCTGCTGCTGCAGTTCATGCACTGGCGACGGGTCCTCCACGGCATCACCATCACTACCCCCACCGCGCCCGAAACTGTCGTGGCTGCTGTCCAGTACGGCCGCGGTAGCGCCATCACCACCAACCCCTACGACCGCCCGAAGGGCTTCTTCCTCTTCTTCGCGGCCGCGTTGATCACCCTCGTCAGACATGCTCGAAACGGAAGAGATCTCTTGATCCTCGGAGGGCCGCGGCCGTAGCAGCAGCGGCGGCTCCTCCTCGCCGACAGCCGGCGGTCTGACGGCATCTTCCACATGGTCGAAAGTCTCGAGATAGTCGATGCCATCCTCCGCTCGCGCCGCCACCGCGGAGAAGGGGACCTCAGGACGCGACGACTCTTCTTCCGCCAGCGGTTGTTCAGCATGCGGCTCACCGGCCTCCTGTTCGACGACGGCGTCTCCAGCGGCACCGCCACCCCCAGCGGCCCAGGCACGGTACACGTTAACCTCTCCGACATCGCCACGCTCGCCCTCTGCTTCCACGGCGACAGCAGGGGCGTCGGTCCTCGCCAGACAGGCTTCATCGCCATCGTCATCATCTGGCGGAGCTTCCCCCCGGGCCGACGGCTCGGCGGCAACGACCGCATCCTCTTCGAAGTCGAACTTACGCCCCGACCACGTGCTGGCGTCGTCCTCTTCGTCGCCTTCTTGGACGTCCGGCGGTAAGCCTCTACCATCTCCGACAACGACAGCTTCCGCTTTCTCGCCCTGCAGACCTTCTCCCTCGTCCCACGGAACCACGGCCTTCTCCTCGAAGTCGTAGCCTCCGGACCAAGCCCCCCCGGGCTGCTTGTTGTCGCTTTCGTTCCCACCCCCGATGGCACCGGGGGGCAGCTGCACATCTCCGACCAACGCCTCTTTAGGCTCGTTTTCTCCGACATCTACGACATCTACGTTACTGCCAAGTCCGAGCTTCTCATGTCGATTCTCCGGCCCAGCGGAAGCGCCTTCTTCACCCCCATCGATGGAGAGGGGCCCCGGCTCTACAACGTCAGGAGGAGTCGATACCAACAGCCGCGGGGGGCTTCCACGTGGTTGATCTACCTCTGCGCCTAGGGCCTCCGCTTCGCCGCCCAGCTCCTCGCGATCCCCCCCTTCTTCGAGTTCTCCTCCACCGTCCGGGGGCTCAGCCTTCTCGACGAATGTGTAGCCGGCGTCGAGCGACGTCGCCTGCCCGCCTGAAAGAACGCCGCTGTCGCTCCTGGAAACCCGTTCGGCGACGTCGGCCTCCAGCGTGGGCTCTTCGACCCGGCCGTGGTTACCGTCGGCGTCAGCCACGCCAGAAAGACCACCGTCAGCAGCCACCGCAACCGCGACCTCTCCTCCCAGCGCAGACTCCGGCACGACAAGTGTACTTCCCGCGCCCTCTTCGAGGTTTCCGCTTCGGACCACCGCCGCCGCAGTCCCGTCATCGCTCTGGACCTCGACAGCACCATCCGGCGAGTGGCACAGGAAAGAGCCAGCGTTATACTCTCCCAAGACTTCCGGCTCGGGAGAAGGAGAAGGCAACAGCAGCCCCTGGGCCGCGCCGTTGTCGCCACCATCGTCATTGGTCTCTCCGCTTGCCCCTACCCCTTCGCACTTCTCCTCAGCAGCAGCAGCAGCAGCGGTGTCGCCGGCCTCCTGAGGGTGCTCCTGGAGCTCGGCTGTCTCCTTCTCGCGGTCAACGCTCACGCCGTCCGTCACCGAGGCCGCGACACTGGTGACACCACCGCCAACCCCCCCCTCGTCATCATAGCCACACATCCCCGGAGAGGAAGACTCGGGGTACCCAGCTACAGCGGCGGCGCCGGCACCCAGCCCGCCGTCCCGCTCACTCGACGGAGACGCGTCGAAGACAAGGGCCTGCCACGGCAACAACTCCCCGCCCGCAACCGCAGCGCCGCCAGACGTCCGAGATCCGCTGGCCGGGGGCAACGCATCCTCAAGGTAGTCCCGCCCGATGGAAAACGACCCGACTAGAGACGAGTCGTCTTGCGCCAGCAAGTCCTCGGAGCACACCTCAGACACGGAGGATAACACCACCGGTCTCTCGTCCGTCCTCTCGCCCGAAGAGCTTCCGGCATCCGCGGCAGCATCATGGCCTGCGCGCCCGATACCGCCGTCGTAGTGGTAGTGGGCACCGTCACCGGGAGCGGGGTGTTCCGCCACCGGACTCCCGCCTCCTGCTTCGTGGTCGTCATTGTCGCCTTTCTCGAGGTCTGTGCGGTCTTCCTCGAAGGATTCACTGTAGGCATCGTCGTCGTCGTCCGCGCAAGAATCGTAGTTGCTGGTGGCGACGCCGCCGCTGCCGCCGTGCGGAGGCTGCAGGAAATTCGAGCCTCTCGCGGTTGCCGCCGTAGCGGCTACCGAACCCTCTTTGGCCGGGGTCCCTCCCGCCAAGGGCACCATCAAGTCGGTACACGACGGCTCGGCGGAGTCGCCTCGCTCGGCGATGAATGAGTCATCAGCATCGCCGACGGGCGCGGCGACCGCGGCAACAACTTTCGACGACAGACCGTCCTCGGCGCGTGCTGCGGCGGCGAGACTGTTGCGTTCCCGGCCCGCCGCACCGGCAGCGACGACGACAGCGTCTTCCACGTCCTCGAACCCGAAAGCTTCCAGCCCGTAGCCGTAGGCGAGACTGTCGGAGCCATGCCCGCACTTCTCCTCCTCCACCGGCGGCAACGCCTCCTCGACATGGTCGTAGTCGCGCAGCATCGAAGCGTCAACCGGGCTCCCGGCACGAGCGTTCGCCGCCGTCGCGCTTGCTCCGAGCTTGTCCCCTTGTCTGGTCGTGACGTCACCACCACCACCGTCCGCCGCCGACCCGGCTAGGGTAGAAATAGTCGCCAACGGAGGAAGCGCGTCAAGCTCACCCTCCGCCGGTGCGTCCTCAACCTCCTCTGGGGCACTCTCTTCCAGAATCTCCTCCGCTATCGACGGGCTCGAACCATCACCATCATCACCGCCCTCCTCACGGGATTCCACTTGAACAGAAGGACCCTGGGTCGGCTCCGCTTCCCGCCCTTCCCGGGTCCCAGGAGAACGCACCGGTTCTTGGGGGTCTTGGGTGTTGGTCAAGGCCGCCACCCCCGCTGTGACCGCGGCCTCTTCCTCTTCTTTCGCGATTTCCGACAGACGCGCGTGCTCGTGCTCGTACGCCGTTATCTCTCTCGCGTTTCTCTCCGTCTGCGCGAGGAAGCGCCAAGGAGGAGGATGTGCCCGGAAAGGGTGCGGGTCATCAGGGGAAGGGGGGGGGGTTGGGGGGGGGCTGGGCTACGCAACAGCAGTAGCGGACTTGGTTGACGCCATGTAAAAAAAAACCATCGAAATACAAAGTTGATGCGGGACAACAGAAGTTACAAACGATTGAACAACTTGAGCAAACACGAAACCCAAACATAAAACATCGTCCAAACAGAAGAAGGGAACCAAGTCATCTTGTCGCTCCTACGCTGTTCCTGTGGGTGAGTTCAGGTGTTCACCGGTAAGGATCTGGAAAATCGCCGCACCCCAACAAACGATGCCAGGCGGGGAAGTATATATATATCTCTCCTCTTCTCTGTCTCTCATTCTCACCAGCATCGCCGACGTCTGGCCCCTCTCCGAATCTGAGCTGCCGAACGAGTCCGACACCGCCTCTCCTCTCTCCTTCCAGGCCATCCACGACACCGCAGCCCCCTCGGAGATCCCGCCTTCCACCTCGCCCGCAGACCCAGCGGCGGTGGCAGGGGAAGGGGGCGCAATCGCCGCAGTCTGCGCCGCCGCCGCGGCTGCCGCCTCCTCCCGAGCGCACTCGCGGCCCCTGTTGGCGGCAGCAAGCCGCCTCGCTGCCCTTCCCCGCACCAGGGCCTGGACTATCAAGGCCGCGCGAGACTCCTCGCCGCGGACGGCCACCCTAGCCACCAGCGCCGTCAGCCTCGCCTCGCTGTCGGCGTCACTGTAGCCTCCCCCCTCCTCCGCGCCGCCGCCACCGCTGCTGCTGCAGAAAGAGTCCTCGTCGAGGTTCGGCCTAGCTTCTGCTTCCGCGGCCGCTACTGATGCGACTGCTGACGGCGGCGGCGGTGTCTCGGGAGCTCCGTCCTGTCGACCTTCCAGCCGGCCGGGCAGCTCTCCAAAGGCGGCGGCGGCAGCGAGGTCATCGCGCGCCGCCTCCGCCGCTCCAAGAGCTATCCAGTCCGCCAGGGCCGGGGGTTGCGCAGGCTCGACGTCCACGTACCCTTCGTCCGCCAAGAGATCGGGTTCAATATCCACCGCCGCCATAGCTGCCGCCGGCGGTGGCGCGTCAGCCCTGAGCCCCGCTCCCGCTCCCAGCATCTCCTCCTCCGGTACCGCCTCGGGGGCCATCGTCGTTGTCGTCGTCGCCGTCGGTGGTGCCGAGAACTTGAACTCTTCCACACCGCCGCCGTCGCCGTACCCGTCCTCCTCGCCGTTGGCGACGCCTCCGCGGTCGCTGTCCGTGTCGCTCCACAGCTTCTCCACCCCCCACGGCGGTGGCGAGGGCGAAGGCTGGTGGTGGTCGCGACCCCCTTCTCCTGCCGCTCTCTCGATCCCCCCCGCGACCTCAAGGGCAAGGTCTGCCCCGTCGGTGGAGGCGGCGGCGGTAGCGGTGGCGGGAGACGGAGCTGCCTCGGTATCGCGGTGTTCGCGCGCCATGACCTGCTGGAGCTCGCTCTCCTCTTTCGCGAGGGCCTGCTCTTCCAGCGGCAGCTGCTCTAGCAGACTCGCCTCTTCGGCCTATGGGGCATGGCACAGCAGCACAAGCGAGAAGAGCAGAGCGCACAAAGATCAAATGGTGATGATGGAGCGGCGGGGGGGGGGTGTGTGTGCTTTGCAGCCGGCACAGTCAGCGTTGGGGAGGTATTCCCTTGGGGACACCGGCGTCTTGGAAACAATCGTTGGGGACGGCGACGACGGCACCCGAGCACGGGTGTAGTGGCAACAACAACAACAAAAAAACGGCGCCAAAAAGCACTCGCCAAACCCGAATTCAATTCAGGGATGCAACTGAGGATATAACAGACGAACGCTAAACCGCGATGACATTATAGAGTCACGAGAGGGGGGGGGGACTTCAAGAACGAACACCACCCGTGAAAATCATATTCAGAGCTTCTTGGGCGGCGAGTTGCATGAGGAGACTTCCCAGAAGTCGCCGCCACTCCAGTTTTCGCCTGACGCCTAAACCCTTTCGACACTACAGAAGCAGCAGCATTTGGTGTGTGCCATATCCATCTGCCGCGTTTCTTACCCAAAACACACACACAAACACACACCTCCAGGATTCCCAGCTGCTGCACCAGCGCCCGTTTCGCCCGAACCCGGTCTCTCGACTCCCGCAGGCCTTCCAGCTTGCCCCTTACTTGCTGCACCGTGTCTCGACGCCGAGCCACCACCGCCTCCATCGACCCGAGCGACCCGGCCGACCCCGGCCGCAAGCCTCCTGGTGCCGGGCGACGGTCGCTCCGGCCACCGCTCTCGACATCCTCCCCGTGCAGGACCGGCGGCGAAAGCAGGCCCGCCGAAGCTCCGTCGTCGTCGAGCGGCGCCGGCGCGGTTTCTGCCGCTGCGGGAGGCAGGGGGGACGGCGGCGATGCCTCAAAGTCTTGAGAGTGCCGCCGTGCTGCGGGGCTAGCATCGGACCGCGCATCAGCTATTTCCTCGGCCTCGGAATCTGCTGCTGCGCTGTGACCGTCGGAGTCTTCGGCCGCATCCTCCTCGAAAGAAACGCTGTCGTAAGCCTCCTCCTCCAATTCGTCACTTTGGGTTCCTCCCCTACCAGCGGAAATTTCGTCCAGGATTTCGCCGGCAGCCTCTTCGGCATCCCCGCTGCTCGCCACCTCCTCCGGCACGTCCACCAAGCGGTGCTCTTTCTGCTGCTCCGCAGCGCCGATATTGTCAGACCCCAACCTCCCCTCCCCAACCGGGGAGCCCTCTGAAGCTTCGTCGGGCACCGCTTCGGCCGCGGACGAAAAGGCGCTAGAAGCCGCGGAGATATCGTCGGGGACAGTGTCGGCGTCGCCTTGGTCTGGCCACTCCTCTCCGTCCCTTGGCGCGCCACCGGTCGCACTGCCGGTTCCGGCTACCCTCTCCGTCGCCTGGCTCGGGCGTCCTGCGGCAGCGAGCGGCACGACGCTCTCCTGCAGCTCCAGCGCCAGGGACTCGTCCAGGTGGAGGGAACCTTCTCGAACGTCTTCTGCGGGTCCCCCGACTCCTCGGTAGTCATCCTCCTGCGGCAAGGCCTTATCAGCCACCTCCTCGTCGTCGTCCGGTAGAGACGCCGCTCCGCCGACAGTTTCGTCTCCGTCCTGGGCCGCCTCCTCCGCACGACCATACCGGCGGGAGTCCTCGTCCTGCTTGGTGCTCCTGCTACGGCGGTGGTAGCGATCATCATCACCGTCTTCGTCGCCGCTGGACTCGAACGAAGTGTAACGCTCATCATCATCGTCGCCGTCGTCGAGCTCTTCTTCGCCCTCTAGCTCCCGCAGCTGCTCTTGCGTGCGCCGCGACATCGCCTCCCGCTCCAGCTCAATCTCCCGGCGAACCGCGGCGTACTCGACGGACGCTGCGCCCTGCGTGCCGCCGCCGCCGCCGCCGCTTCCTGCGGCGGCCCCACGGCCCGCTCCAGCGAGAGGGCCGCTCCGCCGCAGCGGCTCCAACGGCGAGGACGACAACCGCTGCTGCCGCCTGGCCGAGTCCCTCAGCGCCGCCATGCGGTAGTCCAGCAAGGCGTCGAGGTCGTGCGCGCCGACCATGCCGCCGTCTCCCAGGACAGCCGAAGAAGAAGAAGCACTTCGAGCGGCACCACCGCTGCCTCCCAAGCTAGCGCTGCTGTTGGCCCTACCCGCCGCCGCCGCACCCCCCGCTGAGCCACCGTGTTGCTGCCGACGAACGCCCGCGGCAAAGCTGTTGAACCCGTCGTGCGAAAGTCTCATGTGCGTGCCGGGGGAGAATTCCCCTCCGCTCCCGCCGCCGCCGCCGCCGCCACCGCCTACAGAGCAAGAAAGCCGTCCGCTTGCCCTGGAACCGTTCCTTGAACCGTTCCTCGAGACCTGCTGACGCGGTTGGTCGGACCTCGAAAATCCTCTCGCCGCCGCCGACGACTTGCGCTCTCTCAGCTCGGGCGAAAGGGGCTCTTCCGACGGCCAGAACTCCGGCGTCTGCTGGTGCGGTTCCGTCGCCGCTGCCGCCGCTGCCCCCGCCGCAACTGCCGCGGGAGCAGATGGTACTTGGTGGAGGATGCTGCGGCCGTTGTGCACGGGGGAGTGCTCGAGCAGGCTATCGAAATCCGTCCTCGCCCTGCCTCCTTGTTGCATGCCCTCCTCGGACCTGAAAACGGGAGAAGCGCAAGTTTGGGGAGGGTCTCGGGTTGGACGGACGAACAGCAACGTTTGTCTCCCTCCCCCTTAACAGCCGTGTTCCGGGTCGTTTTGGTTAGGGGAGGAGGGGGGGAGGCGAGAGGCGCTGGAAAAAACTTTATGTGTGGATTCGGTGTTGCGGAGCGGCGGCCTTGGACAACCTAGAGCCGAATTGCCGACGGCACGAACGTGGGGCGCTGCGAAAACGTAGGATGTACGAGGCAAGAACTTCGTGCAGAGCGGCGGATTCTCTGCATACTACAGGCGTTGACATGCTGTTCACACCGAAACGCTTTGTGAAAGGGAGAAGTCAGTCTCTACGTGCACCGGGAAGCACACAAAATCACGGCATACACGTCTGTGCGTTCGGCTCACCATCCGGCCGTCACCAACCAGCCCATTCTTTCTTTCCCCTTGCGATCAACACATCAGGGAGCGGGGAACAATCGCAAAACCCCGGAAGGCAGCATTTCCTACGGCGCTCCGTTGGAGAGACCGGTACAGATGAGCCTGCGCCTGAACCAGCTGCTATCGCGCACACTGCCGCGGGCTAGTTTCTCTCGTAGGGGTACTTGACGGGGATAGTGAAGACTGCTGCAACAGGTTCGTAAGTTTTTGGTACTGGTTTGTTGAGGTGAGCTTTATGAAACGCCACACGGCAGCTGGTAGTCAGGTTAAGGGTTGGTCCTGCTGCCTGTTGCATTTCCGTCTTGCGCCGCCACTTGATGGCACCGCTGTGCTCTCACGAGCCCACTCCCGGAGGGATCACTTGTACACAAACACACACAAAAAAAAACTGCCCTCACCCGCTGTGCATGCGTCGTCTCCCCTCCCCCTCGCTTCCCTCTTCCCCAAGACTGCCGCCGCCGTCGGAGGATAGCCTCTCCCTCTCCCTCTCTGCCTCTTCCCTCATGCCGCCTCGCGCCCCGCGGCGGGCCATCGCCCTACCCCGCTCCACTGCACGCTCCTGAAAACAAAAAAAGCCACGTTGAGAGAGGAGAGGGCGTCATCAACAGTTGAGAGAGGCCACATCGTATTCAAAGCGCGAGGTCGACACTTGGGAGATACGAAACCTCGCAAGACTGGAGGAAAATCAAACCCACGTCGTGCAACGTGGAAGCTGTTCTTCACATCCGCCCCCGGTGTCGTTAGCCTGAAGCTTCTCACTTCAGCAGTCTCAAACCACGCATGCAACACACAGGTTGAGCGGTGTGAGATATGGACATGTTTTCACCACCACAACTAAACCCATTTTCGGTTCCACACCCCGCCGCTACTCGTTTCCTCATGAATTTATTCTACAAAACACATACCACCAAAACTTGATCTCAACCGGCTGAGGAGGAAAACAAAAACAACAATGTTGAGCTAACCATCTACACACCTGGAACTCCAAGAACATGGCTGCCTGAGCCGCCATCGCAGTGGCCTGCTGGGTCTGCGCGCGTGCCCCAGCCGCCGCCACCGCCGCCACCGCTGCCCCCGCCTGCCGCCCGTGCGCCCCGAGCGCCGCCGCGGAAGTCGCCGCTATCGCCACCGTCGCCGCCTCCGCCTGGCGCGCGGCCCGCTCCCCGGCCTCCTGTTTGAGCCGCCGGAGCCGAGCCTCGTGGGTAGCGTCGTTCTGAGCCAAGGCCGCTTCGAAGACGTCTTGTTGCTGGAGCAGGGTGTCCGCCTGTGCCTGTGCCTTGGAGTTCTGAAAAACAAGGGAAAACATAATAAAGCGCCGGAGGATATTTACGGCACAAGGCTTAAGTCGGGCATGACGAGGATGCGAGTCGGTTGGGACTGAGGCGGGACAACTGGGGCCCGCCAGAGTGTGACACGGTTACAGTAGTAGGGTCGCGGTATACCATACCCTTATAATCCACCCCGAGGTGCTGCCTAGTCGGGTCGACGTATGCGCGCACTCCTTCTAATAACACCGCGAGCCAAAGCGGTGCTCCTCGAGTGCCGACAGCCAGGAAACGGTAATTTGCCGCTCTGCGCGGCTTGATTGGGCAAAAAATACAGCAGTCTCGTGGCGGTTAAACCCTCCCAGAAGCTGCCGTTGTCGAGGGGTGCGCTTGACGAACCGCGAACAACACCGTCGTCGAAAATAATGGCCCAGGGTGTTCGCCGCTGATGCAATACTCTGTCTACTTCACAACGAAAACACTCGAAGTGAGCATGTGTCCGGGGAGTCATATCCAAAACAATTACCTGTATGCTGCTGTCGGATATGAAGCACTTTCAAACGCTCGGTCTGCAAATTCACAACACTCGTGGCATTTGCGAGCGACCTCGCACTACGTGTACACGAAACAGCAGTGTCGTGCCGTGAACAAAACTCGTCGACAAGACTCAATATTTTCTCTTCGGATGAATTGCCGCTATATTGTACCCGCAGATATGAAGTCCGTGACCACGGAGTGTTTCCGTATCAGTTGGACCAGAACCGATACTACAAGGCAGAACTGAGCACAGAGATCCGAACGTTTTTCGAATGTCAGGACAAGATAACACCAGTGACCACAACAACAACAACAAACAACAACGACAATACACCGCAGAGCCATCGAGAGTCGCCTTCCTCCGCACTTACCCTTTCCCTGCGCAGCAGCAACCCGGCGACACGCGCCTCCCGTCGGGCTTCCTCCACCCTCTGCGCGGCCAGGAGGGCGTCCGCCTGAAGCTCGGCGTCCTGTAGGTCGTCGTGCAGTCGGAGCTCGTTCAACAGCTGCGCCTGGAGCTCTGCGGGCGCGAGCCTCCTCCTCCTCCTCCTCCCGTCCTCCTCCCCTCCATCGGTACCCGGCTCATCTGCGGCGGCCTGAGACGGGAGAGATTCCGCCGCCTCTCGCATGTCTCCGCCGCCACCAACAAAACCGCCGTCGGACGCGACACGAGATGACTCCAGGAGCTCCTGTCGGCGCGAGGGGGCTAGCGCCGGCCCCCTCTGCAGAAGGGAGTCCCACAGGTTCTTCTTCAGCTCCTGGCGCGAGTCGGTCCTCGGGGACTCGGAAGGGGACCGATCGGCGGCCGTCGTCCGCCCTGCAGCCGCGGCGGCATCTTCCCCGACATCCACCCCGGCGGCCGCCGGACCCGTCCTCGTAGCCGCCTCCTGCGAAAGGCTGTCAATGCGGGAAGATTCTTCGGCAGCCACAACCCTTGCCGCGGACCTAACGGCGTCCGCCACGGCGGCGTCTTCCGATGCGGTCAGCAGGGCGTCCTGCTGGTGCTGGTGCAGCTCTCGCGCTCTTGCAGCCGCTGCTGCAGCGGCGGCGGCTGCCGCAGACGCCGCTTCTTCCTCCTCCTGGCGCCGTCGTGTCGCCGCCTCCCGCTGCGCCCGGACGATGTCTCCCGCCACGAGCGATACCAGCGAGAATCCTCCGGCGGCTCGTTTCCTCCCGCCCTCCTCTCCGCCGCCGTTGCCGCTGCCGCTGCTGGTGCTGCTGCCGTCTTCGCCTCTCGCATTGTCCGACGACCTCCACGACGACTGCCGAGCACGGCCGCCTCCGCGACTACCACCGCCGGCAGCACGGGGCATCCAGGCGGGGAGGCCGTCGCCGTCACCACCCTCCGCCTCCGACAAGACGTCACCCGGACGCCTCGACGCGAAACCCGACCGCCGGTACTCCTCCGCCGCTGCCGCTGCAACCGCCGCCGTCGCGTCAACCCGACCATCGTCTGGACGAGCACCGCGTGCGGCCGACGACGACGCCCGTTCTGCCTCCCGTTCCCCTGCGCCGGAAGGCTCGCGGAGCTTCCTGAGGACCTCGGTGATCCAGCTGCCGGCGACCGGCGTCCAAGGCCTTCCTCCGCCATCGCCGTGCCTGCTGCTGCTGTCGCCGCTAACGCTGTCGCGAGGCCTCCTCAACCCCAGCCCGTCCTCTTCGAACTCGACCGGGGAGCCCCACGCCGCTTCCACCGCAGGCATCTCCGCCGGGAGGTCCTCTTGGGCTGACGGCCCGGCAGCATCGGGCGGAAGAGGAGATATCCTAAACGCCGTTGGCGAAGCCCCGTCCAGAGGAGTCGGCGAGGCCCGAGAATTCCTCGGCTGGACAGAAACGGGCCAAGCATTACCGCTGCCGGCGGTCCTCCGCTCGGCAACTGTATCCCCCCGCGCCGCCGAACCCGACTCCGCCGCCGTGCCGGCTGCGGGCGAAGCGGCGGGGGGCTCCGCGGCTGAGAAATAGGGAGGTCTTTCGGGGCCGGGGTCGAGTTGACTGTGGCGGCGGGGAGGAGAAGTGGTCGGCCCTAGGAGCGGCGGGGCCTGCCTCGGCGGTAGCACCACCGGCGTCGGCACCGTGATCGCCGGTCTTTGGTCGGGAATCCTCGCCCGGCCCGTGTCCAACCGCAGCTGCTGCTGCGGAACGCACGCCTGCTGTGATTGTCGGCGATGTTGTTCCGCCGCCTCCGCTTGTGCTCCCTCTGAAAAAACCGAGAGCTGCCTACGAGCGGTCGACATCTTCGGGCGGTCACCGTCCAGGCCGCCACCAGCCGCAGCAGCTACAGCGGTAGCCGGGACGGGAACGACCTGGGGCGGCTCTGACGGTCGAATCGGCGGCGGGGTCGGTCTTGGCTCATCCAGAACTGGGAACAAGACGCGACCATGCGAGAGTCGAGTATTGGATATAGCCCACGGTATTGTGTTGACGACAAAAATGGCAACATGGAACCCCCCATCAAACATCGTTTGTACGTGTAATCGAAAGCGTGCGGTCGGAGCACTGTTTCGTTTTTTTTTCGGGCAGACAACTACGAAACCCAGCGAACAATTCCACGACCGGCGGGGAGTTTCCTAAGAAAAGCCTTTCGACAAGGAGATCTACCGTACCGCTCTCTGACTTTCACACCCAGGTTACACTCAGCGCTGGGACGGTGACATGGCACCGGGGGCTTGCCGAAAAAAAACAAACAAACAACGATGCGAACACTTGCGTGCCGCTCTCCACCCGGAAGAAATGCCAAAAACAAGCACCTCCAAACGCATGCTGCTATATGTTCACATATAGCTGCGGACCGACAACGTCGGAGCAGGGTTTGAAACCGACGATTCCAAAGCAAAGCGAGGATGACGTAGAGCGGTGAAGGAAGATAGCGCACACCGGACTGCCATGACAGCGGCCTACATGTAGCAGAGAAACAGGAACTCGGACAAAAAACGTCGACATCCACAACATGAATGGAATCAATGTCCCAGAAGACAAACGCTTTACCAAATCAATGCAGTCATGACGAAAACCTACCCGTTGCGAATACGTTGGTTCCTTGATCGTTGGTTAGTCTCTCGCCTCTATCTCTTCTGCTGGCCTTCCAAAACAATTGGGCGGCGGAGAAGACAGTACTAACACGTGGGTCGGCGCTACCGCTTTTCGACCAGTGTACACAACAAGAGACCGAGCCAGCCATGAAGCAGGCGCCGATATTGATTGGCCTTGGGCAACAACGGTGTTACAGTAGTCTAGGGTAATCACCTCGGGAAAGGCGGGCACAACGTCCCTGCAAGTCGTGCACAGTCAACGCCACCCTCTCCAGCGACGCCAGCATGAACGGGAGCCTCTCGTCGAGCGAGTCTTCTTCTTCGTCATCTTCATCAACCACCCTTGCCCCTCCCCCGGAGCCGCCTTCCCTCTCCTCCTGCCTGAGCTCGGGCTCCGCCTCCGAGCCCGTGTCCAGCAGCACTGGCCTGGAGTACGGCTCTCCGAGTAATAGTTCTTCCGCCTCATCCTGCAGACTTCGATCGCTTCGACGAACCTCCTTCCTCGGTACCTCCACTTCTGCAACCGTCGCCCCATACCCCCCTCCATCCTCACGCTCCGGCCTATCCGGCCTAAACCCTCCATCGACATCGTCGCCACCACCACCACCGCCGACATTCTCCCAACCATCGGCTGGCCGCCACTGCCGCCGCGCCGTTGCAGCAGGTCCGTTAGCATCACGCCGCAGAGCCACCTGGGCCTCGCCGTACGCGGGGGGGTGGCTGCCGAAAGGCCGCGAGCGGTTGCCGCCGCCCCCGTCGCTGCCGCTGCTTTTGCTGACCACCCGGCCAGAGCGCGCACCCTTGTTGATGCCCCCGCCGCCGCCGCGCCCGCCGCCCGGGCGGTTGTTGGCGGCAACAACGTCGGTACCCTTGCGCCTGCTTCTGCTGCGCGGATCGGTGACCCCCAGAGCAGCAGCGCCGATAGCCCTAGGAGGCGGGCTCTTGCCTCGCCTTCGGGCATCATCCTCGCCAGCTTTTCTCCTGGGCTTGCTGGTAGAGCGCGGCCGTGGTGCTGCTCTGGAAGACGGGGGAGGAGGAGGCTCCCGCCTTCTCACCCCTCGCCTCTCGCCTCCGCCGCCGGCGTCCCCACCCCCTCCTCGGTTCTCTTTGCCCCTCGGACCTCTGCGGAGCCCCTGCGTCGCCGCTCTTCTCGGCTGATACTCCATCCTTGCCGGCGACCCCGGCCTCGACTTGACGTCGACGACGCTCACCCACCCTGGCCGAGGAGGCGGTGCCTTGGAAGCGGCAGCAGCGGCGGCCGCGGAGCTAACGCCGCCGGCGCCGTGCGGCGGCGAAGCACGGCGTCTCGCGGGCCCGCCCGCCGTCCGCCGCCGCGGGAACGAC